GTCAAGGACGGAGACCCGGCGACTGATCAACCGCAGAACGGCGACCTCGAATTGCGAGTCAGAACGCCACAACAACTAAACGATGCACAGACACAACGGGAGCGCAAAGGAGGGGACGGGTAAATAAATCACTTTTACTATATGAATATATATATACCAGTAAATCGAGACGATTTCTTTTTTGTATCTTATCAGGTAAAGCCCATTGAGCTATTTCCTTCTGTCCAGAGGCGACGGGGCAGTCGCAAATGACACTTTAGCGAAGGTGGCTTATCACGTTGAAATGTATGGCAGTAGCCAATTAACAGTGTAACAAACAAAAACAAATTGTTCCTGGGTAGTAAGTGTTATTTCCTAATTGCTTATGCCTCAAAAGTACAGAAAGTGGCTATTATTATTCCATACAAACTTTGCTTTTGTGACCAGAACAGTGATAATTTTTTAACCTATTTTCAATGAGAAAACGTGTGCACTTGTGTCTTTCGTTCACATATAAAGTCCTGGTAATGACACTTAGTATCCAGGAACAAAAATTGTGTGACATAGTGTAATATAAACAATCGAAACGCGTGACATCCATTCTAAATGTGGAGGGGGGCGGGGGGAGGGGAAATAACGGAGGACCCGGAGGGATAAAAAATCAACGCGACCACCACGGAGAGAGTGAGAGAGAGAGAGCGAGAGAGAGAGAGAGAGCGAGAGAGAGAGCGAGAGAGAAAGAGAGCGAGAGAGAGAGCGAGAGAGAGAGCGAGAGAGAGAGAGAGCGAGAGAGAGAGAGAGAGCGAGAGAGAAAGAGAGCGAGAGAGAGAGCGAGAGAGAGAGAGAGAGCGAGAGAGAGAGCGAGAGAGAGAGCGAGGGAGAGAGAGCGAGCGAGAGAGAGAGAGAGAGCGAGAGAGAGAGGGAGAGCGAGAGAAAGAGAGCGACAGAGAGAGAACGAGAGCGAGAGAGACACCGCACGCTGCAAACTACAGCAGCAAGGAAGTGAGGGCGACCCTGGATAGCTGGCGAGTGGACGGAGCGCCTGCGTGAGATTCACCGTGTTGTGGCGTGAGACTCACCGTGTTGTGGCGTGAGACTCGCCGTGAAACTCACTGTGTTGTGCCGTGAGACTCGCCGTGTTGTGGCGTGAGACTCACAGTGAGACTCGCCGTGTTGTGGCGTGAGACTCACAGTGAGACTCGCCGTATCGTGGCGCGAGACTCGCCGTGAGACTCGCCGTATCGTGGCGCGCGACTCACCGTGTTGTACCGCGAGACTCACCGTGTTGTACTGCACGACTCGCCGTATCGTGGCGCGAGACTCGCCGTGAGACTCGCCGTATCGTGGCGCGCGACTCACCGTGTCGGCGCGGTACTCGCCGAAGCGCAGGCCCCGCACCACCTGGCGGTAGACGAGGTCGGTGGCGACGGCGTCGGCGCCGGCGTCGTGCCACGGGGCGAAGAGCTCCTTGCGGAAGATGAGGCGCCAGGGGGCGGCCTGCTCGGCGCCGCCCCCCTGCTCGCGGCTCAGCTGCTCGCACTGCGACACCGCGTCCAGCACGTGCTCCCGACCCCCGCCCAGCGACGACACCTGCGGTCGCGGCAGGGTCACGGTGGGGTCACGGTGAGGTCGTGGTCGGGTCACGACGGGGTCACGGCGGGATCACAGCAGTCACGGTGGGGTCGCGGCAGGGTCACGGCGAGGTCGTGGTAGGGTCAGGACAGGGTCACGGTGGGGTCACGGGAGGGTCACGGTAAGGCAATCGTTGAGGGTCACGATGGGGTTGTGGTAGGGTCATGGTAAGGTCATGGTAGGGTCAGGACAGGGTCACGGTGGGGTCAAGGCAGGGTCATGGTAAGGCAATCTTTGAGGGTCACGATGGGGTTGCGGCAGGGTCACGGTAAGGTCATGGTAGGGTCACGACGGGGTCATGGTAGGGTCATGGTTTAGAGCAGGGGTCGGCAACCACCATAAATAGAAGAGCCAATTCTTCTTTTTATTCCGTGAACATTTGGTGAGCCGCAATGCAACGTGAATGCGAGACGGTGGCGCTTCATAAATAACTGTCACGAAGCAGCCTTCGGAAGAGCCGCAAGTTGCCGACCCCCTGGGTTCAGAGTTACTACGAGGGTCACTCGCCCCGTCACTCGCTCGTCACCCGGCCATCACCGGCGTCGCCCGTCACCCCTCCCGTCACCCCTTCCGTGACCCCTCCCGTGACCCCTCCCGTCACCCCTCCCGTGACCCCTCCCGTCACCCTTCCCGTCACCCCTCCCGTGACCCCTCCCGTCACCCCTCCCGTGACTCCTCCCGTGACCCCTCCCATGACCCCTCCCGTGACCCCTCCCGTCACCCCTCCCGTCACCCCTCCCGCCACCTTGTTCTGGAAGGAGATGAAGAGGGAGAAGCCGAACTGGTCCCGCAGGCCGATCTTGCTGGCGAGAGCCGACACGAGCTCGCGCGCCGTGCACGCCGAGTCGGCGCTCAGCGGCACCGTGCGGCCGTCCATCAGCCCCACGGGAAGCGGCGACGTGCGGCGGGACTTGGTGGCCTGTGCCGGTTCACGGGGACGGTGAGGGGGGGAGTCGGGGGGCAGCGAGGGATTGTGGAGGTAGCGGTGTAAATAGTCGTGGTGGTGGTGGTGGTGGATGTGGTGGTGGAGCTGATGATGAAGATGGTGATGGAGGTGGTGATGGTGGAGGTGGTGATGGTGGAGGTGGTGATGGTGGAGGTGTGTGATAGAGGTTGCTGTCGAGGTGGTGATGGAGGTGGTGTCTGTGGAGATGGTGGTGGTACTGGTGGTGGTGGTGGAGGTGGTGGTATTGGTGGTGGTGTTATTGGTGGATGTGGTGGTGGTGGTATTGGTGAAGGTGGTGGTGGTGGTATTGGTGGTGGTGGTATTGGTGGTGGTGTTATTGGTGGATGTGGTGGTGGTGGTATTGGTGGTGGTGGTGGTGGTATTGGTGGTGGTGGTGGAGGTGGTGGTGGTATTGGTGGTGGTGGTGGTGGCGATACAAGGAAGAAGCCACCCACCTGCATCTCGAGCCAGCTGGGGGGCTGGGTTCGGCACCCGTTGGCCAGAGTCCTCTTGAGGCGCGCGTCGCAGTACGGCGCATACCCTGGCGGACCCTCGCTCAGGAAGCTCCTCAGGTACTGGGCGGGGGGTGGGGGGCAGGGAGGGGAGGCGGGGCAGAGGGGGGGGGGCAGGGGGGGAGAGAGGTGGCGTTCCACGGTGTCTGTGTGGGCGCGTGCCGTCGTCGCTGGAGCCGATCCCCGGAGTTCGATTCCCGCTGGCGGCCACCGCCGACACCGATGACGATCATATCTCAGCCGGTCGTGGGCCTCCCCTGGGTCGACTCAGCCTCAAATGGCTACCTGCCTGGGGGGAGACAAAGGGCGTGGTGCTGGCCACCCACCCCCTCGTGTGCCAAAGTGCCGCCCTTCATTGTTGCTGATACTCGCTAACAGCACTTGCCCCGACAGTTTGTTAAGGCTACACGGGGGATCTGAGTCTTTGTCTAGTATGTATGGTGTATGTATGTTGTATGTATGTTGTATGTATGGTGTATGTATGTTGTATGTATGTTGTATGCATGGTGTATGCATGGTGTATGTATGGTGTACGTATGGTGTATGTATGGTGCATGTATGGTGTATGTATGGTGTATGTATGGTGTATGTATGTTGTATGTAGGGTGTATGTATGTTGTATGTATGTTGTATGCATGGTGTATGCATGGTGTATGTATGGTGTACGTATGGTGTATGTATGGTGCATGTATGGTGTATGTATGGTGTATGTATGTTGTATGTATGTTGTATGTATGGTGTATGTATGTTGTATGTATGTTGTATGCATGGTGTATGCATGGTGTATGTATGGTGTACGTATGGTGTATGTATGGTGCATGTATGGTGTATGTATGGTGTATGTATGGTGTATGTATGGTGTATGTATGTTGTATGTAGGGTGTATGTATGGTGTATGTATGGTGTATGTATGATGTATGTATGGTGTATGTATGATGTATGTATGGTGTATGTATGGTGTATGTATGGTGTATGTATGTTGTATGTATGATGTATGTATGGTGTATGTATGGTGTATGTATGGTGTATGCATGGTGTATGTATGATGTATGTATGGTGTATGTATGGTGTATGTATGATGTATGTATGGTGTATGTATGGTGTATGTATGTTGTATGTATGATGTATGTATGTTGTATGTATGATGTATGTATGGTGTATGTATGGTGTATGTATGGTGTATGTATGGTGCACGTATGGTGTATGCATGGTGTATGTATGGTGTATGTATGGTGCACGTATGGTGTATGTATGGTGTATGTATGGTGTATGTATGTTGTATGTATGGTGTATGTATGTTGTATGTATGGTGTATGCATGGTGTATGCATGTTGTATGTATGGTGTATGTATGGTGTATGTATGGTGTATGTATGTTGTATGTATGGTGTATGTATGTTGTATGTATGGTGTATGTATGGTGTATGCATGGTGTATGTATGGTGTATGTATGTTGTATGTATGGTGTATGTATGATGTATGTATGTAGTATGTATGGTGTATGTATGTTGTATGTATGGTGTATGTATGTTGTATGTATGATGTATGTATGGTGTATATATGGTGTATGCATGGTGTATGTATGTTGTATGTATGGTGTATGTATGGTGTATGTATGGTGTATGTATGATGTATGTATGGTGTATGTATGGTGTATGTATGGTGTATGCATGGTGTATGTATGGGTTATGTATGGTGTATGTATGGTGTATGTATGGTGTATGTATGGTGTATGTATGGTGCACGTATGGTGTATGTATGGTGTATGTATGGTGTATGTATGGTGCACGTATGGTGTATGTATGGTGTATGTATGGTGTATGTATGTTGTATGTATGGTGTATGCATGGTGTATGCATGTTGTATGTATGGTGTATGTATGTTGTATGTATGGTGTATGTATGTTGTATGTATGGTGTATGTATGGTGTATGCATGGTGTATGTATGGTGTATGTATGTTGTATGTATGGTGTATGTATGATGTATGTATGTAGTATGTATGGTGTATGTATGTTGTATGTATGGTGTATGTATGTTGTATGTATGATGTATGTATGGTGTATATATGGTGTATGCATGGTGTATGTATGTTGTATGTATGATGTATGTATGGTGTATGTATGGTGTATGTATGATGTATGTATGGTGTATGTATGGTGTATGTATGGTGTATGCATGGTGTATGTATGGGTTATGTATGGTGTATGTATGGTGTATGTATGTTGTATGTATGATGTATGTATGTTGTATGTATGATGTATGTATGGTGTATGTATGGTGTATGTATGATGTATGTATGGTGTATGTATGGTGTATGTATGTTGTATGTATGATTTATGTATGGTGTATGTATGGTGTATGTATGATGTATGTATGTTGTATGTATGGTGTATGTATGATGTATGTTGTATGTATGGTGCATGTATGTTGTATGTATGGTGTATGTATGGTGTATGTATGATGTATGTATGGTGTATGTATGTTGTATGTATGATGTATGTATGTTGTATGTATGGTGTATGTATGATGTATGTATGGTGTATGTATGGTGTATGCATGGTGTATGTATGGTGTATGTATGTTGTATGTATGGTGTATGTATGGTGTATGTATGGTGTATGTATGGGTTATGTATGGTGTATGTATGGTGTATGTATGTTGTATTATGATGTATGTATGTTGTACGTATGATGTATGTATGGTGTATGTATGGTGTATGTATGATGTATGTATGGTGTATGTATGGTGTATGTATGATGTATGTATGGTGTATGTATGGTGTATGTATGATGTATGTATGATGTATGCATGGTGTATGTATGGTGTATGTATGATGTATGTATGGTGTATGTATGGTGTATGTATGATGTTTGTATGTCGTATGTATGGTGTATGTATGATGTATGTATGGTGTATGTATGTTGTATGTATGATGTATGTATGTTGTATGTATGGTGTATGTATGATGTATGTATGGTATATGTATGGTGTATGCATGATGTATGTATGGTGTATGTATGTTGTATGTATGATGTATGTATGTTGTATGTATGATGTATGTATGGTGTATGTATGGTGTATGTATGATGTATGTATGGTGTATGTATGGTGTATGTATGTTGTATGTATGATTTATGTATGGTGTATGTATGGTGTATGTATGATGTATGTATGTTGTATGTATGGTGTATGTATGATGTATGTTGTATGTATGGTGCATGTATGTTGTATGTATGGTGTATGTATGGTGTATGTATGATGTATGTATGGTGTATGTATGTTGTATGTATGATGTATGTATGTTGTATGTATGGTGTATGTATGATGTATGTATGGTGTATGTATGGTGTATGCATGGTGTATGTATGGTGTATGTATGTTGTATGTATGGTGTATGTATGGTGTATGTATGGTGTATGTATGGGTTATGTATGGTGTATGTATGGTGTATGTATGTTGTATTATGATGTATGTATGTTGTACGTATGATGTATGTATGGTGTATGTATGGTGTATGTATGATGTATGTATGGTGTATGTATGGTGTATGTATGATGTATGTATGGTGTATGTATGGTGTATGTATGATGTATGTATGATGTATGCATGGTGTATGTATGGTGTATGTATGATGTATGTATGGTGTATGTATGGTGTATGTATGATGTTTGTATGTCGTATGTATGGTGTATGTATGATGTATGTATGGTGTATGTATGTTGTATGTATGATGTATGTATGTTGTATGTATGGTGTATGTATGATGTATGTATGGTATATGTATGGTGTATGCATGATGTATGTATGGTGTATGTATATTGTATGTATGATGTATGTATGGTGTATGTATGTTGTATGTATGATGTATGTATGGTGTATGTATGGTGTATGTATGGTGTATGCATGGTGTATGTATGGGTTATGTATGGTGTATGTATGGTGTATGTATGTTGTATTATGATGTATGTATGTTGTATGTATGATGTATGTATGGTGTATATATGGTGTATGTATGATGTATGTATGGTGTATGTATGGTGTATGTATGATATATGTATGGTGTACGTATGGTGTATGTATGATGTATGTATGATGTATGCATGGTGTATGTATGGTGTATGTATGATGTATGTATGGTGTATGTATGGTGTATGTATGATGTATGCATGGTGTATGTATGGTGTATGTATGATGTATGTATGGTGTATGTATGTTGTATGTATGATGTATGTATGGTGTATGTATGTTGTATGTATGATGTATGTATGGTGTATGTATGGTGTATGCATGGTGTATGTATGGGTTATGTATGGTGTATGTATGTTGTATTATGATGTATGTATGTTGTATGTATGATGTATGTATGGTGTATGTATGGTGTATGTATGATGTATGTATGGTGTATGTATGATGTATGTATGATGTATGTATGGTGTATGTATGGTGTATGTATGATGTATGTATGATGTATGCATGGTGTATGTATGGTGTATGTATGATGTATGTATGGTGTATGTATGGTGTATGTATGATGTTTGTATGTTGTATGTATGGTGTATGTATGATGTATGTATGTTGTATGTATGTTGTATGTATGTTGCACTTTGCTTCCGACCGCACGTAGCCAACCATGCCAAATCGGAGGCACTGGCGAATGACAACCAAACACTTTCCATCTCAGACGACGCACGTGGTGACCGATGGAGGGCTTCGTCGTCTCTGGCTGTGCAGGCAACTCAAAAGATGCTTTTGATTTCCCACCCACGACTTACCCCCTTGACGATTTCTGGGCAATTTGACGCTTATACGGACCGCGACATTCACAAACCACCGCCACCAACCCCGGAGGTACGGCGAGTAACTGGCAGCCGTTTAAGGTGAGTGGTGAGCATCTGGTGAGAGGGGTCTAAACTAAAACTAGACTTTAATTGAAAAATAAGAATGGGTCTTTACCCTTTCTGGAAATAAAACCGAAGGTGTTAAGATGTTCGAACGCCAGATAGATTATGGATTTGTACTCCCACTGTCTGCATCTTGTCCTGATGTTGGCTCGATGCAGTTTCGAGTGACCTCATTTCTAATCGCTAAAAAATGCGGTTGTGAGAATCATTCTTCAACTTTAAACTAAAAAAAAAACTAGCAAACTTATTGTTTTTCACATCGGGTCGGATTTGTTTCTTTATCTTACCAGATAAGGCTCCACTTGTTTCAGAAGCGACCCGACCATCACGAATGATGGCCCAACGAAGTGGGCTAATCATCATCATCACCACCACGTGGACATTTACAGCAGCAGCCAAGCAACTCGGAAAACGCGCACGACCCCGATTCTGAACGTGGGAGGGGAAATTAACGGAGGACCCGGAGAAAAATCCACGCGACCATGGGGAGAGAGAAAGAGAGACACGCAAACTCCACGACCTCCTGCGCACCAGGCGAGGGAGTTAACATCTCAGGCGGTTGGTGAGCGGCACCTTGCTGAAGTTGTCGGAGGGAGGGAAGCACCCCAGGCAGAGGGAGAGCAGAATCCAGCCGCGGGCGTAGCTGCTGCGGATCAGATTGTCGCCGATCTGCTTGCAGATCTGGCAGTAGATCTCATCCCTGGCGCATGCAAAAGACAAAGATTCACCCCGTATAGCCTTGCGGGCAAGTGCTGTTAGCGAGCACAAAGACAAAGATTCACCCCGTATAGCCTTGCGGGCAAGTGCTGTTAGCGAGCACAAAGACAAAGATTCACCCCGTATAGCCTTGCGGGCAAGTGCTGTTAGCGAGCACAAAGACAAAGATTCACCCTGTATAGCCTTGCGGGCAAGTGCTGTTAGCGAGCACAAAGATCCCCCGTATAGCCTTGGGGGCAAGTCCTGCTTACGTGCACAAAGACAAATATCTCCCGTATAGCCTGAACAGACTGTTGGGGCCAAGTGCTGTTAGCGAGCACCTATGAAGGCCGGCACGGCACACGAGGCAGTGGGTGGCCAGCACCACGCCCGGCCGCCTTTGTCTCCCGAGTGACGATGTTTACACATCGCACCAGGTACTCATTTAAGGCTGAGTCAACCTAGGGGAGGCCCAGGACCGGTTCAGATAATCGTCACCGGTGTTGGCCGTGAGCGGAAATCGAACTCGGATCGCCGGGTTCGTAGCGCAGGGTGCTAACCGCTACACTACTGCTCCCCACACACACACACGCACGTACACACACACACACGTACACACACGTATACACGCACGTACACACACACACGTACCGGATCGCAGGCCGCAGGATGGCATAGCCGATGATGAAGTGGACCTTCTGGAGGTTGTTGAGCGGTGCCTCCTCCAGCCACTCGGTGCCCTTCGCTCCGCGCGGGTTCTGTGCAGAGTCACACAAGGCATCGTCTCCTCGGCGAACCACCACCACCACCGGTGCAGTGTGTGTGTGTTAGGTGTGTGTGTGGTGTGCTGTGTGTGGTGTGCTCTGTGTGTGTGTGTGTGATGTGCTGTGTGTGGTGTGCTGTGTGCCTGTTGCGTGTGTGTGGTGTGTGTGGTGTGTGTGTGTGTGGTGTGGGTGGATCAGTATGTGGTGTGTGTGGTATGTGTGTGCTGTGTGTGGTGTGCTGTGTGTGTGGGGTGCTGTGTGTGTAGTATGCTGTGTGTGCGCTGTGCGTGAGTGCTGTGTGTGTGCTGTGTGTGTGGTGTGCTGTGTGTGTATGTGTGGTGTGCTGTGTGTGTGCAGTACCTGCAGGCTCTCGTAGATGACGCGGATGATGGACACGCGGTTGGGGTCACGGTTGGGGTCACGCGCCCCCTGACCCCCCGTGGCATGCGGCTCGGGGAGATCTCCCATGAAGCGCAGCACCATCCTCCACACGGCCAGGCTGGCCTGGGGGGACAACAACAACAACCGCCATTCATCACTAAGTGGCGGTGACGTCACCACGACGCTTTGCCAGGCTATGTGCATCTTGACGCCACGTGAAGTGTCGAACGCCCGCGGGCAGGAGGTCACGGGGCAGACCCACGTGCCACGGGTCGACTGACTAAGATGACTGAGATGACTGGCTGATGCACCACCTGTGCCCCCTACTGTGCCAACCTGCTGTTCTTTAGCCACCCGGCGCTCCGCTCGTTGTTGTGAGCATCGCTCCTCCGCCCTCCGTTGTTGTTGGAGGGCGACTACCTTCAACTGCCCAGTAGCGTCCTTCACGAGCCTCCTCCACAGAGGCCATTTTGACACCGCTGGTACCAGTCATCGGCAAGTCCACTCAGCTCCACGTCCTCCTGTACCACATCACTCCATCTCTTCTCTAGCCCGTGCCGCGCCCGCTTAGCCCCCTCGATCCGGCCGAACAAAGGCTGTTTCGGCATGCGGTGGCTGGGAATGCGGGCTACATGACCCAGCCAACGCAGCCTTTCCTGCCGGAGTAGCTCACCGATGGGACCTTACCCAGATCTTTTAAGGATTTGTGAGCTCCTCACACAATCCAGCCTGGTTAAACCCAAGATGGATGGTAGGCAGGCTAGCCTAAATGTTTCTAACCGGCGAAGATGTTCCATTAAGGGGGTCCACGTTTCGCAAGCGTAGAGAAGGGAGGGAATGACCGTGGCCGAGAAGACCTGAAGCTGAGTGCGGAGCGACAGACCAGGTAGCTTCCACACAGCGTTACGCAACCGATGAAAAAATATTGCTGCTCGACTGATTCGGAGTGAGACCCCTGCTGTTAAACTGGAGCCGGTCAAAAGCACACTGCCCAGGTATGGGAAACTTTCCACTCTCTCCACAACTACCCCATCACCGATTGGGAGTTGTGGGGGTGGAGTGTCCGATGGTACAAAATAGCCAGGCAGGTGTTTAGTTTTGGTGGGGCTGATGGTAAGGCCCCATCTCTTAGTGGCACGCTCCAGTCTCAGCAGCAGCGTCTCCAACTCCTCCTCTGAATGAGCAGCTATTACCAAATCATCGGCATACATAACGTGGTTGAGCAATAGGGAGCCATCCCTTGACTGCACCCGGGCATCGATCAGCCTCCCATTATATCTGTACCATATGGAGATTCCCCCGGTACAGCTATTGAAGGCTTCACGAACTACGTGGTCAAAATAAATGTTAAATAATGTGGGAGCCAGAGGACATCCCTGTCGCACCCCAAGGTGTACAGGGAATGGCTCTGACTCCCGGCCACGTAGTTTTACCCGGGCCCGCTCACCACCATGAAGGTCCTTAATGATCGTGAGCAGAGGGTCAGGTACTCCAAAAGCACGAAGAACAACCCAGTGCCCAGGCCTACTGATGGTATCATAGGCCTTGACCAGGTCAATAAAGCAGAGATGTAGGTCTTGCTGGAATTCCCTACACCTCTGCTGTAGCAGACGGACAGAAAATATGGCATCTGTGCAGGACCGCCCTTTCCTGAAACCGTACACACACACGTACACACACACACGCTACATACACACGACACACACTACATAAACACGGTATGAAAAAGGTTTCTGTCTAGTGTTTTAACATCTCAATACCTGTTTTATTGCCAGAAAGCGTAAAACCAATTCTTATTTATTTGGAGAAACATATATTGAGTCGCCATGGCGTTGTGCCAGCTCCTGAGTGAAGAGTGTCACTGTGCGTCTTAGAGCCTCTCTCTGTCACCAGACTACGTATGGCATACGTGACGGTCTAGGTGAACCCAAGAGGGCACATGGCCTGCAGAGGATAAGGGCGGGGGCCAGAAGGGGATGAAAGGGATAGGTGATGTAAGGTCCCAGAACCTTCTGGAACAGATCCCAAAGGGGGCGTGGCCGAGATGTAGATGCCACCGGTTCTTCACGTTCTGCAGATGTAGATGCCACTGGTTCTTCACGTTCTGCAGATGTAGACGCCACTGGTTCTTCACGTTCTGCAGATGTAGATGCCACTAGTTCTTCACGTTCTGCAGATGTAGATGTCACTGGTTCGTCACGTTCTGCAGATGTAGATGCCACTGGTTCTTCACGTTTTGCAGATATAGATGTCACTGCTTCACGTTCTGTAGATGTAGATGCCACTGGTTCTTCACGTTCTGTATATGAAGATGCCACTGCTTCTTCACGTTCTGCAGATGTAGATGCCACCACCGCCGTCTATTGCCGGGCGATTGAACTTACGACTCTCGGCTCCGAACGGGCAACTGGACACACAGACCGGCTTTGTTCATAACCCTCTGAAAGTTCGTAAGTCGATTTGTTTCGAAAGCACAAGAGTCCCCGGCGTGTGAAACCCACCCGCCTGTCCGTCTCGTCCTGGTGGTGGAGCAGCGGCGCCCGCAGCAGGCGCCTCTCGTGCGTGTGCGTGGAGCTGCCCTGGAAGTTGACGGCGGCGAACTTGGCGAAGGTGTAGTCCCGCAGCTCGCCGCGGCGTCGCTTCTCCTCCTCCTCCTCCTCCTCGACGTCGACGTCGTCGTCGCCACGCGGCCCCAGGTCCTCATCCAGGTCCGTCGTCATGTCCATGCCGGCGTGGTCCATATCCTGGCAGGGTGGTGGTGGTGGCGGGGAGAGAGGAGAGAGTGGTGGTGGTGGTGGTGGTGGCAGGGAGAGAGAGGAGAGAATGGTGGTGGCAAGGAGAGAGAGGGGAGAGTGGTGGTGGTGGCGGTGGGGAGAGAGTGGTAGTAGTCGTGGTGGTGGTGGTAGAGAGACAGAGGTGAGTGTGGTGGTGGCAGGGAGAGAGAGCGGAGAGTGGCGGTGGTGGTGGTGGTGGTGGCGGTGGGGAGAGAGGAGTAAGTGGTGGTGGTAGTGAGGAGAGAGAGGGGAGAGTGGTGGTGGTGGTGCCGGGGGCGAGGGAGAGGAGAGTGGTGATGGTGGTGGCAGGGAGAGAGAGGGGAGAGTGGTTGTGGTGGTCGCGGTGGGGAGAGAGAGTGGTGGTGGTGGCGGTGGGGAGAGAGAGTGGTGGTGGTGGTGGCCGTTGCATAAATGAGTGGAAACTCAGTCTTGAACGAATGAGTGAGCGAGCGAGCGAGTGTGGTTACCGCGCTGCGCTACGAACCCGGCATCCCAAGTTTAAATCCCGCTCACGGCCAACGCACCGGTGACGATTATCTAAACCAGTCCCGGGGCCTCCCCTGGGTCGACCCAGCCTCAAATGAGTACCTGGTGCGGTGTGTAGTAAACACCGTCACTGGGGAGACAAAGGCAGCCGGGCGTGGTGCTGGCCACCCACCCCCTCCACGCTCGCCCTGCCGGCCTTCATAGGTTTGCTACTATCCTAACAGCGCTTGCCCCTGCAAGCTACACGGTTGATGGGGGGGGTCATCTCCGTCTTTGTGTGTGAGTGAGCGTGCGAGCGAGCTTGCAGCTGCACCTCCATGGCGGTGAGTCCCAAGAAGCCGAAGATCTCGTCCAGCATTTTGTCTTCGTTCCTGTCCAGGTCCATGTCCTCCTTGACATCCTCCTGGACCATGGGCAGACCCTGCACCACAACGTTGGCCACATTCACAGTTCAGAGCCAGCGACGGTGCCATAGCCATTGGGGGGACCACTTCAGATCAAAATATTTTGGGGGAGCCCAATTGTTTGGGGGGGGGGGGATGGAGGGGGCTTTTTCACTGCCGGGGTGGTGGTGTTCGCTGTGAACGTGGCCTGTAATCCAGAACTCTCGAGGCAGCGAGGATTGGTGGATCACACACACACACACACATGGTATGGCAACCGTGGTCTAATCTGCATTTGTTTCTGTCTGTACGGGGATCGAGCGTTTCTCCCCCCCTCCCCTTCACACGAATAGGTTTTCTCCGGATGTTCCGGTTTCTCTCCCAAGTGCGAACGCCCATTGATTGGCTGATTAACACCTTGATGTACATAGAGGGCCGCAGAGCTTGGGCAATTGTTGGTGCCGGCTCACTGCGTTGGCTGCTGCTGCTGCTGCTGCTGCCTTCCCACTCCTCGTCTGTGGTCCCTTCTCCTGGCGCCTCTGAGTCGTCCTATCTCTCTCTTTGAGTCGCCCTCTCTCTCTGAGTCGTCCTCTCTCTCTCTTTGAGTCGCCCTCTCTCTCTGAGTCGTCCTCTCTCTCTGAGTTGTCCTCTCTCTCTGCGTCGTCCTCTCTCTCTCTCTGAGTCTTCCTCTCTCTCTGAGTCATCCTCTCTCTCTGAGTTGTCCTCTCTCTCTGCGTCGTCCTCTCTCTCTGAGTCGTCCTCTCTCTCTGAGTCGTCCTCTCTCTCTCTCTGAGTCGTCCTCTCTCTCTGAGTTGTCCTCTCTCTCTCTGAGTCGTTCTCTCTCTCTGTCTCTGAGTCGTCCTCTCTCTCTCTGTCTCTGAGTCGTCCTCTCTCTCTCTGAGTCATCCTCTCTCTCTCTAAGTCGTCCTCTCTCTCTCTCTGAGTCGCCCTCTCTCTGAGTCGCCCTCTTTCTCTCTATGAGGGCGAAGAGGGGATACAGTGCGGGGGGGGGGATGTTGAATATTGATAAGATCTGAACCACTTGTGTGGTGATCGAAACGTCGTGATCTATTATTTTTCTACGTGACTTTACCGAAAGAACCAGTCACAAAAGCTAAAAATCAAGATTCTTTTATTTTAGTTTTCCTTCCGATTCTGTTCCGATGACGTATGCCTACGTACGTCATCGGAATGGAAAAAGGTTAAACTTGCTCTCATCTCCGTCCTTCATCTCTCTTCTCTCCTCTCGCTCCGTCGACTCAACCCGTTTCTCCCTCTCGTGACCGGTACCTCTCATTGTCTCGCCCACATCTCATTCGTCACCTCATTATAGGATTTCGTACAATGGAATAGTGGAGGGGGGGTGGTGCATGTACCCCCTAAAACAATTTACCCTTAGGGCCCCCCAAAACGGACCACCACCGCAACCGCAACAACCGCACGCGACCACCCCGGCGCATCTCCTCCACCGAAAACGCCCGCAGCTTGTCACCGCCGAGGCCTGCGACGGGACAAAGCCTGGTGTAGGCCCGCTGGCCGGTCTCTCTGGCCCGGCCCTCCTCTGGGGAGGGTGGGGGGGGGGTGGCGGCTGGGCGGCTGGGCGGCTGGGCCCCCCCCGGCCCCTCACCTGGGTTTTACGGAGCCGGTAGCGCCGGCGCGCGATGACGCCGCGCGCGTGAGCCTGGATGACGATGGCGGCGCGGCGCGTGCGGGAGAACTGCAGCACCAGCTTGCGGCTCTGCATCACCGCTTGCAGCCGGGCCAGGCCCAGCTTGATCTGAGCGGGAGGAGGGAGACGCGGCGCAACGGGGCTCGGTTGGAGCGCACGGAGGAACTCACGGGGTTCAATTCCCCGGTCGGGTGTCAGGAAGAGTAAGTGGAGCAGGCCGTTGACAGGCCACCATGCTCTTCCCTTAACAATACATCTGGCGACATTAGCAACGTGCGGATGTCGAGTGTCTTTCGCACCGTGCGTTAGCCAACCGAGCGAATCGGGAGGTGCGGAGCGATGCAGTCACAGTTGTGTTCGTTGCATGCCCTGGGGATTTTGGCTGATCGATTTAGGGATGTCACAGTGGTGAAATGTTAATTACCTCGCCTGGTATACAGGAGGTCGTGGGTTAAATAGCGACCTTGCCACCTATAGAGTTTCCATGTTTTCCACGTGGTCGCGTGTATTTTTCTCCACATTTAGAATCAACGTAACGCGTTTAGAGTATGTGGCTGCAATACATTTCCACATGCTGAGCCACTTCCTCGAGCTACGTACCTCAGTGGGCCTTACCTGGCAAAATAAATAAAAAAGTTATTGTGATAGCTTAGTCGAGTTCAATTTGTTGACGCGGGTAAGCCGTGCACCGTAAGCCGTACGGTGCAATTCCGCGGTATCGCCGTCGCCCGCGGTTAATCCCGGCAGGCCACGTCCGTGGCGGCCTCCGGCGCTGGTGAGCGGCGGTGCCCCCCCAGGCCCAGCCCTACCGTGAGGTAGAATCGGCGCTCCGAGTAACCGCGCCAGTGCTTCTGGATCATGACGGCCGCCGCCCTCATCTTCAGGAAGCGTTTCCTGCGGGCGACGCGGATCGCATGGCGAGACGGGAACCGTCGTCGTTATTCGTCCTGGGGAAATCCGATGAGCTATCAAGCTCTTTTTTTGTTTTCTTCTGGCAGACGCCCAACGCCCGCCCCAATCTCACCGTCCAGATGGGTGACGAATTATAATATGCATCGGGTAGCCCCACCCACAGCTCGGGTAGCCACACCCACACCTCGGGTAGCTCCGCCCACTATTCGGGTAGCTCCGCCCGCTACTCCGGTAGCCCCGCCCACTGCTCCAGTAGCCCCGCTCACTGCCCAGGTAGCCCCGCCCATTACTAGGGTAGCCCCGCCCATTGTTCAGGTAGCCCCCGCCCACTACACAGGTAGCCCCGCCCACTACTCAGGTAGCCCCACCCACTCCTCAGGTAGCCACACCCTCTGCCCGCATCATGAGTTTTTTTTTAAAACGGGGACAGAGTCCATAAGACTTTTGACAAATTCTTTGTGACACCGGGGACGACCTTTCTAAAACCGGGATGGTCCCGACACAACCTGGACGCATGGTGGTTTTAATTTCGTGTAACCTGTTGGTGACTGACCTGGGGCATGAGTATGCCAGTAAGGGGAGGGGGGGGGGGCGATGATTTCAGTAGTTGCTGCTGCTGTGTGTGAATGTGTGGGGAGCGCCCAGTGTCGTGGTTAGCATACCACACTACAAACCCGGTAAACCCGAATACGATTTCCGCTCACGGCCAACACCCGTGATGGATTATCTGAATCGGTCGTGGGTCTCCCCTCGGTCGACTCAGCCTCAAATGAGCACCTGGTGCGGTGTGTAAACATCGCCACTGGGGAGGCAGAGGCAGCAGGGAGTGGCGCTGGCCACCCATCCCCTCGTGTACCGTTCCAGCCGCCATAGGCGTTTACAAACAGCACTTGCCCCAATAGTCTGTCACAGGCTAGGTTAGGGGGGAGAGATCTTTGTGCAATCCCAATGGAGTGGAGGCGCGGTGCGATTTTGGGTCGCGAGCGCCTCATCACGCCGCGGTGGGGCCTCACCGTGCGACGTAGACGCGCATCACGCCCTGGATCTTGGTGACCTTGTCATTGATGCTCTTATCCCGAGACAGCTCTAGCACCATGTCGTGATTGTCCTGGCGGCAGGCGAGACAACGGGAGGCAACACATGGCGGCGCCGGTTACGGAGGATGCTCGTCGGCGACTTCCGCCCCGCCCACCCACCGCCCACCCACCCACCGAACCACCGCCTACCCGCCCACCGACCCACCGACCCACCGCCCACCCACCCACCATCCACCCACCCACCAAACCACCACCTACCCGCCCACCCACCCACTGCCCACCCACCACCCACCCACCCACCGCCCCACTGACAGACTCACCCGCTGCCCACCGACCCACCCACCCACCGCTCACCGACCCACCCACCACCACCCACCCACCGCCCACCCATGCACCCCCCCCACCACCCACCCCCCACTGCCCACCCCCCAAATCCACCCCCCCCAGCACCTTCGATCCTACAGAAACCGTGCTGCACGCGTGTGATGAATTCGCGACCAAAATGTGAACTTGCACGTGCATGTTGAACGTCTTTTTGCACCGTACGTAGCCAACCATTGCTGATCGGTTGGCGCTAAAGCTTGAAATGAATCGCGCGGGCAAGGGACCGAACCTTGAGGAAGACCTTGTGTTTTCCGATCTGGAAGTCCTCGTCCTTCCCCAGCGTGGCCCCGAGAATCTTCCTGCACGTTCCCATTGGGTTCGCCTGCCACGAGCAGCGGGGGTACCAGCGACGGCAGCGGGCGCGCGAGCGCAAAGCGAGAATCAGAAAAACGCGTTTCTACCGCAGGAGGAGGATTAGGATGAGAAATATCATGGGACTATCAAAAGTGTGAAAAATAAGAATGGGTTTTACCCCTTTCTGGCAATAAAACAGGAGGTGTTAAGATGTCCAAACAGCAAATCGATATCATGGGACCTCCCTTGTCAGTATAAACATGTGAGAATAGGTTTTAACCTTTCTTGAAGTAAAACAGGAGTTGTTCAGATGTCAATGCACCAAACGGAAACCTTTTCACAAGGAATCATGTCTGCATTAACCACACGATACTTGTGGCGAACATGCAAAAAAAATGTTTGTGTGGTTAATGCAGACATGATTCCTTGTGTATGTCAGGTGCTTTAACATCTAAACACCTGTTTTATTTCAAAAAAGGGTAAAATCTATTATTATACCAAATAGATACCCTTTTTTACAAGGAATTAAGTCTGCATTAACCACACGTGTTTGGGTGCAAGCGCAAACAAACATGCTCAAATAGTATACGCATTGCCTTTGAAACTGAATTGGCCTACACCAGAGGGATGAGCTATATAGATATTTTTAAACAGATGTCCAGTAGGGACATCTGAACGTTACGACAACAATCACAATTATACAAAAAAAGACACGACATGGGTGCAAAGTACAAGAAAATGTAAACAAATCACCCCAAAAAAAACATGCAAAATTAAACTAAACCATCCCCATCCCATCAGGCAAAGCTCCCACTGAGCTGTAACCCGAAGCGACGGCTCTGGCTATACCACAGTAAAGGCAGGGAGGAAATCCGTACCAGTAGTACCTCGGTTAATTGCGACACCGGTTAACGGTTGCTTCGGTTAACATTTCGCCTCCCATAGTGACCCCCGTGATTTCGACTTGACGTTAACGTTACGTTACCTGCACGCGGGGCCGCCAATTTCGGCCAATCCGAGCTCTCGTAAGTGGCCCTCTCAGCCAATTCAGCAACGTCCCCGTCTTTTGGCGTTGAGATCCTCGACTGGCTTTATTAACATCATTAGACCTCTTTTGCCAGTACCAAAATGTAATGATAGGGTTTTTCCCCTTTTTTCTGGCAACGAAACATGGGTGCTCATTGTCTTTGAGCTGTGTATGCCTTTTGGCGTCATCTGGTCGAGCAACAATTGGGTCGAGGCTCAAAAGAAAGCCGTCCCTTGGTGTGGACCAATCAGTTTCAAGGACAATGCACATAGTATCGTAGTATGTTTTTTGTTTGCATTTTGACTCCAGGTATTGTGGTTAATGCAGACATGAATCCTTGTAAAAAAAGGATTCAGTTTTGTTGCCAGAAAAAAGGGGAACACCTCTATTGTTGGCTTTATTAACGTTAAGTTTTTCTGCTTTTGGGCCAGTGGAAAAGCAGCTCTGCTCCTGCAGCGACTCGGTGATTTTTAGTTTTGTTTTTGAACCCGTAAGTGAACTCGATGTAACAGCCATTTCAGTTCACGGTCGTTTTTTTTTTTTTGCCCGAACGGATTAAACATCCGTTAACTGAGGGAACTACGATGACTCTACTTACGAACACTTGACTTGCGAACTTTCAGACGTACAAACAAACCTGGTCCGTCGTTTGCATGTTCAATACTGCCAAAAAGGTATCGCATGTTGTAGCTGCTCACCCCAAGCTATAAATGCCCTGATAGTTCATTGTCTTTTTACTATCAGAGCATGTTTTTTTGCATGTTCACCACAAGTACGTGTGGTTGATGCGAACTTGCTTCCTTGCAAAAGGTTCCTATTTGGTGTTTGAACATCTTAACACCTCCTGTTTTATTGCCAGAAAGGGTAAAATCCATTCTTATTTTTTCGTACTGGTCCAGTATGTCCAGTTGCCCGTTCAGACCGAGAGTCGTAAGCTCAACCGCCCTACAATAGATGGCGGTGGTGGCATCTACATCTACAGAACACGAAGAACACGTGACATTTACATCTGCAGAACATGAAGCAGAACCAGTGGCATCTACAGAACGTGAAGAACCAGTGGCATTTACATCTACAGAAGATGATACAACTTTTGAAAGCAATTCCTCATGTTTATTCTACACGCCATACAACGTGTTTGGAATCGACAGGAGTGAAGTTGGACTTCGACTTACGAACAGACCTCTGGAACCTAACTCGTTCGTAAGTAGAGTAATCCCTGTACTGTGCTGTTACTATTCCCCCTTAGCGGCCTGGTGGGGAGAAAGTGGAGTGGGGGGGGGGGCGTGGGGGGTGGGGACAGTGGCCGTCGGTTCGCACCTGGGCCTCTTTGGGCTGGAAGCCGGGCAGCGTGAAGCGATAGCGCTCCACAAACTCGGCAAAGGTGTACCGGATGGGGTATCCCGACCTCCGGATGCGGATCGTCTCCATCATCCCCGAGTAGCGCAGCTGGCGCACGAACAACTCCCGGTCGAAGAGCTGTGGGGGTAAGGTCGGGGGGGGGGGGCGGTGGAGGGCGCGGTGGGGGGGGGGGGCCACGAGGGACAGCACGGAGAGAGGGAGATGGAGGAATGACGCCCAGATAGAGAGGGGGGCAGCCGGTGGGTGCACGCGGATGGGAGAACAAACCTCCTGCCCCTGGCCCGCACCTCCGATTTGTAGTTAGAATCAGAATCTTTATTTAGACTGGAGGAGGAATCCGATGAGCTATATAGCTCTTTTTTTTCACAGATGTCAAGCAAGGGGGCCACGGGGTCAGAACGTTACCGCGACAAGCGATAGATTAACACAACAGGAGTGCAAAGTATAGGAAAGGTCAATAAATGACACAAAAATATATACAAATTAAACTATGCTATTTTTTTTTTATCTTACGAGGTAAGGCCCACTGAACTATTAGCATCTTATTCGGGGGTGCGGGATAAGGACAATAAAGTAAATACAAAAAGCCGTCCGAAAAGTATTCAACCTCGATTTAAAAGACAATAATAATAAAAATAATAAAGCACAAGCGGGTTGAAGCCCGGTCAAGAAAACATTTTGACTGCGGCGCCAGAACGGCGGCGCCGGCAGCGTCGACGACGCCGGAACGGCGGCGCCGGCAGCGTCGACGGAGCCGGAACGGCGGCGCCGGCAGCGTCGACGGAGCCGGAACGGCGGCGCCGGCAAGCATCGGCGGCGCACCTGGGGCTTCTTGGCGTCGTTGGGTTTGATGCAGCGGATGAACCACGGCTGGCACAAGCCCAGCGCCTTCATTAGCTCCTCCAGGGACTTGCGGAACTGCCCGCTGAGCGTGGTGGGGCGCCGGTGCGTCAGGGTGCCGTGCACCCTCACCGAGTCGCCGGCGCGCTTGTGGAACGGAATCGAGCCCTTGTCCTGCAGCGACAGCAGCGGTGGGAAGAGCAGCATCGGTGGAAGCAGCAGCAGCAGCAGCAACATTAACCAGCAGGAGCAGTAGGAGCAGCAGCAGCGGTAGGAGCAGCAGCAGCAGTAGGAGCAGCAGTGGGAGCAGCATCATTAACGAGCAGCAGCAGTAGGAGCAGCAGCAGCAATAGTGGAAGCAGCAGCAGCAGTGAGATCAGCAGTGTGAGCAGTAGCAGCAGCAGCAGCGTCAACCACCAGCAGCAGTAGCAGCAGCGTCAACCACCACCACCAGCAGCAGCAGCAGCGTCAACCACCACCAGCAGCAGCAGCGTCAACCACCACCACCAGCAGCAGTAGCAGCAGCGTCAACCACCACCACCAGCAGTAGCAGCAGCAGCAGCAGCGTCAACCACCACCACCACCAGCAGCAGTAGCAGCACCGTCAACCACCACCACCAGTAGCAGCAGCGTCAACCACCACCACCACCAGCAGCAGCAGTAGCATCAGCAGCAGCAGCAGCGTCAACCACCACCACCACCAGCAGCAGCAGCAGCGTCAACCACCACCACCACCAGCAGCAGTAGCAGCACCGTCAACCACCACCACCAGTAGCAGCAGCGTCAACCACCACCACCACCAGCAGCAGCAGTAGCATCAGCAGCAGCAGCAGCGTCAACCACCACCACCACCACCAGCAGCAGCAGCAGCGTCAACCACCACCACCACCAGCAGCAGCGTCAACCACCACCACCAGCAGCAGTAGCACCAGCAGCAGCAGTAGCATCAGCAGCAGCAGCAGCAGCGTCAACCACCACCACCACCAGCAGCAGCAGTAGCATCAGCAGCAGCAGCAGCGTCAACCACCACCACCACCAGCAGCAGCAGCAGCGTCAACCACCACCACCACCAGCAGCAGTAGCAGCACCGTCAACCACCACCACCAGTAGCAGCAGCGTCAACCACCACCACCACCAGCAGCAGCAGTAGCATCAGCAGCAGCAGCAGCGTCAACCACCACCACCACCACCAGCAGCAGCAGCAGCGTCAACCACCACCACCACCAGCAGCAGCGTCAACCACCACCACCAGCAGCAGTAGCACCAGCAGCAGCAGCAGCATCAGCAGCAGCAGCAGCAGCGTCAACCACCACCACCACCAGCAGCAGCAGTAGCATCAGCAGCAGCAGCAGCGTCAACCACCACCACCACCAGCAGCAGCAGCAGCGTCAACCACCACCACCACCAGCAGCAGCAGCAGCGTCAACCACCACCACCACCAGCAGCAGTAGCACCAGCAGCAGCAGTAGCATCAGCAGCAGCAGCAGCGTCAACCACTACCACCACCAGCAGCAGTAGCAGCACCGTCAACCACCACCACCAGTAGCAGCAGCGTCAACCACCACCACCACCAGCAGCAGCAGTAGCATCAGCAGCAGCAGCAGCGTCAACCACCACCACCACCAGCAGCAGCAGCAGCAGCGTCAACCACCACCACCACCAGCAGCAGCAGCAGCGTCAACCACCACCACCACCAGCAGCAGTAGCACCAGCAGCAGCAGTAGCATCAGCAGCAGCAGCAGCAGCGTCAACCACCACCACCACCAGCAGCAGCAGTAGCATCAGCAGCAGCAGCAGCGTCAACCACCACCACCACCAGCAGCAGCAGCGTCAACCACCACCACCACCAGCAGCAGCAGCAGCAGCGTCAACCACCACCACCACCAGCAGCAGTAGCACCAGCAGCAGCAGTAGCATCAGCAGCAGCAGCAGCGTCAACCACCACCACCACCAGCAGCAGCAGTAGCATCAGCAGCAGCAGCAGCGTCAACCACCACCACCACCAGCAGCAGCAGCGTCAACCACCACCACCACCAGCAGCAGCAGTAGCATCAGCAGCAGCAGCAGCGTCAACCACCACCACCACCAGCAGCAGCAGCGTCAACCACCACCACCACCACCAGCAGCAGCGGCGGCGGCCTCATCTCTGCGCCCGCAAGCGGCGCTGACCACGCGAGCGCCACCGTCGGCCAGCGGTGCGGAGCGGTGTGGTGTGGTGTGATGCAGTGCGGAGCGGTGCGGTGCGGTGTGGTGCGGTGTGGTGTGGTGTGGTGTGGTGCGGTGTGGTAGTGGTGCGGTGCGGTGTGGTTTGGTGCGGAGCGGTGCGGTGTGGTGCGGTGCGGAGCGGTGCGGTGTGGTGTGGTGTCGTGTGGTGCGGTGTGGTAGTGGTGCACGCACGGTGTTGAGGTCGCCGGCGAAGATGCGCGTGAGGAAGGAGTTCTTCGAGGACTGCACCAGAGCGAGGATGTCGGGGATCAGGGAGTCGCGGTTCTTCTCCAGGAACCCTGAGCGAGGGGTGGGGGGAAGGACAAGCGACATCGACCACCCCACCCCGGGTAAGCGCCCGATTCCATTGTCTGGTTCGGGTTCCATTGTCTGGTTCGGGTTCCATTGTCTGGTTCGGGTTCCATTGTCTGGTTCGGGTTCCATTGTCTGGTTCGAGTTTCATTGTCTGGTTCGGGTTTCATTGTCTGGTTCGGGTTCCATTGTCTGGTTCGGGTTCCATTGTCTGGTTCGGGTGGCCACAGTCATGGGAGCTGAACGGATGTTGAACTTCTTTCGCACCGTACCTCGCCAACCGTTGACCCAGCCAACACACGCGCACGCCCTCACCCGTGCTCTCGTAGAAGACGTCCCCGGCGAAGTGCGAGATCCCGAAGCGCGTGCTGTGGTTGCTCCGGGGGGGGATGAAGTGGGCGTTCTTCTTGTGTTGAGCCGTCAACTTCGCGAGCATTGTGGCGTCCGTGCCCTGCGGAGGTAAGGGATGGGGGGGGGGGGGACATCATTGCGTGTCGTAGTCGTAGGAGAACGGGGACTCCTCTACTAACGAACGAGTTAGGTTCCAGAGGTCTGTTCGTAAGTCGATTCGTTCGTAAGTGCCAACTTTACTCATGTCGATTCCAAACGCGTTGTACGGCGTGTTCAGTACACTAAACACGGGGAATTGCTTTAAAAGTTGCGTGATCTCCTGCAGATGTAGATGTCACTGGTTCTTCATGTTCTGCAGACGTAGATGCCACACGTTATTTACGTTCTGTAGATGTCACTACGGAACGTGGACATACGGACCAGGTTTGTCCGTATCTATGAAAGTTCGTAAGTCGAATGTTCGTAAGTAGAGGAGTCCTCGTCGTCGCAGTCACCCAAGCCAGCAATGGGCCGTTGCGAATATCCCTCCGGGCGCTGCGATCCATGGGCCCTAGGCAGACCTCCTGGGTGCCACAGTGGCGGGGAGATGTTACCTACCTCGCCTGGTATACAGGAGGTTGTCATCCCGCCCATGACTCCCCGTTTACAATCGACGTCACGCGTTTCGAGCATTTGGCTGCCGCTGTTAATTTCCGCGCCGACGACGACGACGATGACGATGATGACGATGATGACGACGATGACAATGACGATGACAATGACGATGACGACAATGACGATGGCGACAATGACGACGACAATGACGACGACAATGACGACGACGACGATGATGACGACGATGACGACGACGATGATGACGACGACGATGACGACAATGACGACGGCGATGACGACAACGATGATGACGACAATGACGACGACGACGACGATGACGACGATGACGACGATGACGACGACAATGACGACGGCGATGACGACGATGACGACGATGACGACGATGATGATAAGCGGCCCACTTCGTCGATCAATCATTTGTGGTAGCCGGGGTCGCTTCTGAAGGAGAGGCTGTACATATAGCTGAGTGGGGGCCTTACCTGGTGAGGGGGGGGGGAGCGAGGGTCGAGCCATCTATCGACGAGGTTTAAAACGAGCAGCAGTGACGTCGCTCGCGGTTCCAACCTGCGGGAATTTGCTCTCCTCGTCGATGAGCGCGATGAGGTTGAGCGGGCGGCTGGAGATCATGTCGAGGGCCTCCTGGTTGTCCGTGAAGGTGATGTTCTTCCACGAGATGGACTCTCGCTCGTACTCCTCCTGCTCCAGCTTGAAGATGTGGCCCACGAAGAACTGCTGCAGCGCCTCGTTGGCCAGGTTGATGCAGAACTGCTCGAAGCTGCGACGAGGTGGCACCGGGGGGGGGGGGGGTGGGGGATGAGGGGGGGAGGAGGAGGAGACACGGGTGAGAACTCGAGAGACCAGGATAGGGGTGGGTGGGTGGGTCGGTGAGTGGTTGGGTGGGTGGGTGAGTGAGTATTTGGGTGGGTTGGTGAGTGGTTGGGTGGGTGGGTGGGTTGATGAGTGATTGGGTGGGTGGGTGGGTTGGTGAGTGGTTGGGTGGGTGGGTGGGTTGGTGAGTGATTGGGTGGGTGGGTGGGTTGGTGAGTGGTTGGGTGGGTGGGTGTGTGAGTTAGTAGTTGGGTGGGTTGGTGAGTGGTTGGGTGGGTTGGTGAGTGGTTGGGTGGGTGGGTTGGTGAGTGGTTGGGTGGGTGAGTGAGTGGGTGGCTGGGTGGGTGGGTGAGTGTTTTGTTGGGTGGGTGAGTGAGTGGGTTGGTGAGTGGTTGGATGGGTGAGTGTTTGGGTGCGTGGGTGAGTGAATGGGTAAATGAATGAGATGATGAAAGAATGAGTTCATGAATTCCAAGTAAATTCTGTAATCGGCTGAGAACTCAGGAGACCCGGGATAGGAGTCTCATTTTGGAAGAGCGAGTGTGTGAGCGAGTGGGCTAGTGAATGGGTGGGCGCATAACCAGCTGACTGCCTGACTGAATGAGTGTACGAATGAACGAGACGATGGCCCACGGAAGGACGAGACGGACATGCGGAGGGGAGGGTGGGGGGGGGGGACACACACCTGTTCGTCTGGAAGTTCTCGAAGCCGAAGATGTCGAGGAGGCCGATGGAGCGCCGCTCTTTCTGCTGCTCGCTGCCGCGAGAGGGCGGCTTGTACACGATGGAGTTCATCTTGTCCACGATCCACACGAACATCCTGCCGTAGATCGCCTGCAACAGGGGTAAGTGGCCAGGAGTGAAAGGGCGCGGCAGCCGTGGGCGCGGAACCGGCAGCTTTGCTCGGCTCGATCCTGTGATCGAGCCGATAGAGGCGTTTTGAAATGACAGCCCGAGCGGTCGTGACGGAGAGGAACGAATTAAACAACGAGATAAACGAAGCGGAGCGATCAGTCGCCTTCCCATATCCATGCCTCTCTCTCTCCCCTTCTCTCCGCGTAAGAAAGAAAATGAGAGGTTCGTTCCTCTGTAAGGGGTTTGCGAGCTCATTTTGTGATTCATGTTCCGCACAACGACGGGATGAGATGCCACGTCGCGCTGAATCAGGACCCTGTAGCGGAGAGAGAGGGGAGGATCCTTGCCTGGTACAATTTGGCAGTTCTCGCCAGGAATGATTCAAGCAAAGCCCGACACTGCTGATGAGACACTGAGTGTTGAAGCCAGTCCTTGCCTGGTACGATTTGGCAGTTCCACCGGCATTGATTCAAGCAAAGCCTTGCTCTGCTGATGAGACACTGAGTGGTGAAACCAGTCCTTGCCTGGTACGATTTGGCAGTTCTACCAGCATTGATTCAAGCAAAGCCTTGCTCTGCTGATGAGACACTGAGTGTTCAAACCAGTCCTTGCCTGGTACGATTTGGCAATTCCACCGGCATTGATTCAAGCAAAGCCTTGCTCTGCTGATGATACACTGAGTGTTGAAACCGGTCCTTGCCTGGTACGATTTGGCAATTCCACCGGCATTGATTCAAGCAAAGCCTTGCTCTGCTGATGAGACACTGAGTGTTGAAACCAGTCCCTGCCTGGTACGATTTGGCAATTCCACCGGCATTGATTCAAGCAAAGCCTTGCTCTGCTGATGAGATACTGAGTGTTGAAACCGGTCCTTGCCTGGTACGATTTGGCAGTTCCGCCGGCATTGACTCAAGCAAAGCCTTGCTCTGCTGACGAGGCACTGAATGTCTAATCGGTGGAGATTTTGCTTGCCTTGAATCAATGCTGCAAAAAATGCAGCACTGCCAGAATGCCACGCAGTTCATGGGTTATTTGGAGTGAACTTTGTCCTAGTTACCCTGGCTGGCCAGACGTTTAATTCTAGATGTGAGAGGACCCAACATTTTATCTCACCGCACGAGACCTGCCGATCGACTAGCTGTGGTGGTGCACACATTGATACTGCTGAGTGGGCAGAGGCCGGGTAATTATAGCAGCAACAACAACGATGTCGCCGCGGTGGCTAGGAGATGTTAACTACCTCGCCTGGTATGCAGGAGATCGTGGGTTCGATCCCGAACCTGACGCCTCCTGTATATTTGGAGTTTGCGTCTCTCTCTTTCATCATCACGGTGGCTAGGAGATGTTAACTATTCTAGATTTAAAGCTTTCGTGACTGCTAGGATCCATACTCTTTGGTTCTATTGGGTAAAGTCACGTAGGTAAAAAATAAAATAACAAAAATCACGACGTTTCGGCCACAACACAAGCGGCCTTCATCAGGTGAAGGGACGAGTCTGTCTGGAGGACAGCGCTGGAGTGAAAAAAGGCCACGCTCAGATCACGACCTTTAAGCTGTGTGAGAAGAAACAAAGCGCCTTGACAAAGGAATTAGCATATAATTTAGCATTGAAATGGCTCATTGAAATAGCTAAGTTAAAGTATACACATCCGCAGAGGCACCCCTTGACAAAGGAATTAGCATATAATTTAGCATTGAAATAGCTGAGTGATTAGCTTGTAACTGGTCACAGAAATAGCTATGTTAAAGTCAGAGCATATACATTCACCGAGGCACCTAGTACAAATCAAACAGGAGAATTTAGCGAAACACAACCACGCTCAGACTGCGGACCTTTAAACTGTGTGCGAGCAAACAAGGTGTCCTGACAAAGAAACTAGCATAAAAATTACCATTTGATTGGCCGATTATAGAAAAGAGGTGGTGTACGTGCCGGTGGACTTGCCGTTTGGCGCGGGGGGGGGGGGGGGGGGGGAGTTTCCCTATTGATGGTGTGAAAAGGGAATTTATAAGAGCTGCGAAAGTTCAGGGTACCACTACTTGAAAAATATACTGTACCATTGAAATGAGTTTAATGTTTAGTTCGATTTAGAACATCTTTCCAATGGTTGCTTAATTTGAAACCATCTTCTCGGTTGAAATTGTTTCTGTGTTTGTAGATCTGAATTGCCTCGTGAACAAATCTCTGATAAAAACCCGTGGGTTTGCAAAGAACCTTGGTATCGGAGAAAATGATCACGATATAATTTTCTCCGATACCAAGGTTCTTTGCAAACCCACGGGTTTTTATCAGAGATTTGTTCACGAGGCAATTCAGATCTACAAACACAGACACAATTTCAACCGAGAAGATGGTTTCAAATTAAGCAACCATTGGAAAGATGTTCTAAATCGAACTAAACATTAAACTAATTTCAATGGTACAGTATATTTTTCAAGTAGTGGTACCCCAAACTTTCGCAGCTCTTATAAATTCCCTTTTCACACCATCAATAGGTAAACTCCCCCCACGCGCCAAACGGCAAGTCCACCGGCACGTACACCACCTCTTTTCTCTAATCGGCCAATCAAATGCTAATTTTTATGCTAATTTCTTTGTCAGGACACCTTGTTTGCTCGCACACAGTTTAAAGGTCCGCAGTCTGAGCGTGGTTGTGTTTCGCTAAATTCTCCTGTTTGATTTGTACTAGGTGCCTCGGTGAATGTATATGCTCTGACTTTAACATAGCTATTTCTGTGACCAGTTACAAGCTAATCACTCAGCTATTTCAATGCTAAATTCTATGCTAATGCCTTTGTCAAGGAGTGCCTCTGCGGATGTGTATACTTTAACTTAGCTATTTCAATGAGCCATTTCAATGCTAAATGATATGCTAATTCCTTTGTCAAGGCGCTTTGTTTCTTCTCACACAGCTTAAAGGTCGTGATCTGAGCGTGGCCTTTTTTCACTCCAGCGCTGTCCTCCAGACAGTCTCGTCCCTTCACTTGATGAAGGCCGCTTGTGTTGTGGCCGAAACGTCGTGATTTTTGTTATTTTATTTTTTACCTACGTGACTTTACCCAATAGAACCAAAGATGTTAACTACCTCGCCTGGTATGCAGGAGATCGTGGGTTCGATCCCGAACCTGACGCCTCCTGTATATTTGGAGTTTGCGTCTCTCTCATCATCATCACCACGGTGGCTAGGAGATGTTAACTACCTCGCCTGGTATGCAGGAGGTCGTGGGTTCGATCCCGACGCTGACGCCTGCTGCTATGTATTTGTATTTTGCTTGTCTCTCTCTCTCTCGCAGTGGTCGCGTGGATTTTTCTCCGGGTCCTCCGGTTTTTCCCCTCCACATTGAGACTCAACATCACGTGTTTCAGAGTGTTTGCCCTCCCCTATAAAATGTCTACACAATGATGATACGTCACTGCGTTGAGCTATCATTTGAGATGGCCAAGTCGCTTGTGAAAGAAAATTTTAAAAAATGTCCACGTAGCTCAGCGGGGTCCTCACCCGGGTAAAATAAAAAGGAAATAGTTTTAGTAGTTTCGGTTTTTTTTTTTATCTTCACAGATTAAGGGCCGTGCATAAATGACGTAACGCGGTTTTGGACGATTTTTGACCCCCCCCCACCCCCCCCCCTTCGTCACACGGCGTCACAAAAAGTCAGACCCCCCCTCAAATATGACGTCACAAAGCTCTGCCCCCCCCCCACCCCAAAATAAAACATGCTTCAAATCTCTTTAAACTATTGTCATTGTAGTGCGTATTTAATGTGGCGCTGCACTCTGATGTTGTAGGAGAAACACATTTATTAAAAAAGTCTATTTCATTAAGTAGAACGTGTTGTTTATATTTATTTAAAGTTTGCGCATTTTGACGTGACGTCACATTTCTCAAACCTCCCCCCCCCGTCGTCACTCATCGTCACAAATGTCTGACCCCCCTCCCCCCCCCCCCAGGTGCGTGACGTCATTTATGGACGGCCCCTTACCTTCACGAAGGCGTTCCGGACCTCCTGAGTCTGTGCCATGCTGAGCAGCGTCGTCACCGTCTCCCCACGCATCAGCATCACCTTCTTGGTGAGGCACTCTTGAACCTCGGCCTCATCCACCTGCAGCGGACCACGGCAGAGTAAAACCCCTCACCTTTCACCCCCCCCACCCACCCACCCACCAACCCACCCACCCACCACTCACAACACCTTTTTCCACAGGGCAAAACCGTGCCGTGCCGGGGGTAACCGGAGCGCCCGAGCGGACCTGGCGCCGATGACGTCGCGCTCGGTGAACTGTCGGAGAGAGACGCGCGGCGTCGGCGTCCGAGCGACGCCGTGAACCAAAGCCGTAGCCATGGAGTCAACATTGGGGGAGGGACAAAATCTTCCAGGGTGTCCCAACACGGAAAAAATATCTACATTTGAAAACTAATTTCCCGCCTAAAATAATAGAAAATTCACTAACACGTGGGATGGCCTCTTTATTTATTTTTTAACAATAATGTCTAACGGTGTATTGTGTTACATCGCTCTGTTTTTTTTTTACTTTTTTACCATTTCTTGTTTCATTGTATGTAATGGCAGAGATTAGGGATTAATAAAGTACAACCATAACCACAATCCTATAAATAGAAATCTATGCATTGATTGATATGAAGACAAGTCCAGATATTGCGGCCAAGGTTCAGCAAATCGATTTTTTTTTTACATAGTATAGCCATTTTTTTAATATATATAGCAATATATTGGGGAGGGGGGGGGGACATTTTTAGCATATTTGAATATTGGGAGGGGTGTGTGTGTGTGTGTGTCCCCAATATATTATAATTACGGCCTTGCCGTGAACGCATCGGCGGTGGATTCGGGGGAGTTTCTTGAAGTCACCTCGAGAAGCTTGGAGGCCCAGGTCAGGTGGTCGTTGGCGAGAATTTCGCAGCACTCAATGTTGCTGCTCACAGTGCCTGTCGTCGGGGTCACAGAGGCAGAGGTCCATCGCACGGCCCTCAGCAGACTGCTCAGCGCAACGGCCCCGTGCGCCTTCCCCGGCGGCGATGCTCACACATTTGCCGCGACCGGCTACTCGTTTGATGCTGAGTCGACCCCAAGGGGGATAGCCCAGGAACTGGTGTTTTGGTGGCCGTTAGTGGGAATCGCCACTCGGGTCTCGGGGGATCGAGAGGGCGCATCGCTTTAAGCGCTGCGCGAGCTCCGACCGATTTACGGGAGCGCCGTTACTGCCGCGGGCAGCGGCTAAACCTGCGGTTCTTCTTCTTAAGCTGGGGGGGGCATCACGCGCCCACTGTGGGTGCATCACGTGCCCGCTGGGGGTGCATCACGTGCCCACTGTGGGTGCATCACGCGCCCACTGGGGGTGCATCACGCGCCCACTGGGGGTGCATCACGTGCCCACTGGGGGTGCGAGGTGCCCTTTGCGGGGGTGCGGGACATGGCAGGTGATTTTAGATGGAAGATCATCTAAGGCACAAATTAATCACGGGCATGTATGTAGGTCTGTACCTTTCACCTGAAGACGGCCGCTTGCGTTGTGGCCGAAACGTCGTGAGAATTTTATCGTGTTATTTTATTATTTTATTCTCATTCTACGTGGTGACTTTACCGAAAAAAAACAAAGAAGATGAATCCTTGCAGTCACGAAAGCTTTAAATCGAAAAATGTATGTACAACTTATTTGTTTCATCGAACCTATGTGCCTGTTAACATTAAAACATTTTAACGATTGAGAATCGAAGGGATGCGAGGCTGCAGTAGGTAAAAAAAAAAAAGAACACTTCTCTATGACATACGATTTATTTTTATTTTACGAGATCGGGCCCACTGAACTATTCCGGATATGGCGGTCAGAACCGTCGAACTTTCATGAGGATGAAGTGAAATTGTATTCTTTGGGTGTTTCGGTAAAGTCACGTAGACAGGCTCAAAGAAAATAACAAACAACCACGACGCTTAGATCACGACAACAATCTTTGGGGCCGTCCATAAATGACGTCACGCGATTTTGGACGATTTTTGACCCCCCCCCCCTCTCTCTCTCGACACACGGCGTCACAAAAAGTATATGTGACGTCACAAAGCTCTGCCCCCCCAAAAAAAATATATAAAACATGCTTCAAATCGCTTTAAACTATTGCCATTGAAGCGCATATTTAATGTAGCGCTGCACTCTGATGTTGTAGGAGAAAACATTTATTAAAAAGTCTATTTAATTAAGTAGAACGTGTTGTCTGTATTCATTTAAAGTTGCGCATTTTGATGTGACGTCACATTTCTCAACCCCCCCCCCCCCCCATCGTCACAAATATCTGACCCCGCCCCCCCCCCCCCCCCCAGGTGCGTGACGTCATTTATGGACGGCCCCTTTCCCCCCTCTTTTTTTCCTCCTGATGACGATCGCTTGTGTTGTGATCGAAACGTCATCGCTTTTTTGTTATTTTCTTTACCGAAAGACCCAAAGAATATTAATTCCTGCAGTCACGAAATGCTTAAAGTCAAGGTTTGAAGTGAAACTCATTGAAAACTTTAAATTTCGATTTAAAGCTTTCGTGACTGCAGGGACTCATCTTATTGGTTCTTTCGGTAACGTCACGTAGAATGGAAATAAAATAATAAAAATTAAACGTAATAAAATAAAATTCTCACGACGTTTCGGCCACAACACAAGTAGCCTTCTGCAGGTGAAGAAAGAGGACTGTCCAGAAGACAGCGCTGTCTGTGTTGTGGCCGAAACGTCGTGAGAATTTTATTTTATTATGTTTTATTTTTATTATATCATTTGCATTCTACGTGACATCATTGAAAACTATTTTTATTTTACGAGGTGAGGCCCCACAGAGCCATACGGCTCTTTTTCAGAAGCAACCTGCCTATCATAAATGTTAGCTCAACGAATTGGGCTTTTAATCATCATCATCATCACGTGGAAGTTGTATACCGGCCAAATACTCTAAACGCGTGTGACGTTAATTCTAAATGTGGAGGGGAAAACCAGAGGACTTGGATAAAAATCCACTCGACCACGGGGAGAGAGAGAGAGAGACACGCAAACTCCAAATATACAGCAGCAGGCTTCGTCAGGGGTGGGGTTGAACCCACTACCTCCTGTATACCGGACGAGGTAGTTAACATCTCCTAGCCACCGTGATGATAATGAGAGAGCGAGAGACACGCAGAATCAAAATATACAGCAGCAGGCGTCGTCAGGGTCGGGGTTGAACCCACAACCTCCTGTATACCAGGCGAAGTAGTTAACATCTCCTAGCCACCGTGATGATGATGAGAGAGAGAGAGACGCAGAATCCAAATACACAGCAGCAGGCGTCGTCAGGGTCGGGGTTGAACCCACGACCTCCTGTACACCCGCCGCCAAGGTGATTGCTCGCCCGCACCTTGAAGCTTGAGGTTCCCCAGGTGCAGGATGCTCGCCAGCATCTTGGAGATGCCCAGGTACTCAGTCTCGGAGAAGGCGAGCACCTTCATCGCGGAGCGGATACTCGCGAAGTCCTTGAGGTCGTCGCGTCCGTCGCAGCGCGTGCAGTTGCCCTGCGGCGGCGAGCGTGGGAACACCGCGGCGACGGTGTTGGCACGGGGGAAGAAAAGAGATCATAGATATCCGTCTATTATCCGAGCAGTAGGCAGTAGAGAGAGAGAAGACGACTCAGAGAGAGAGAGGGCACGACTCAGAGAGAGAGGACGACCCAGAGAGAGAGGACGACCCAGAGAGAGAGGACGACTCAGAGAGAGAGAGGACGACTCAGAGAGAGAGAGGACGACTCAGAGAGAGAGAGGACGACTCAGAGAGAGAGGACGACTCAGAGAGAGAGGACGACTCAGAGAGAGAGGATGACTCAGAGAGAGAGAGGACGACTCAGAGAGAGAGGACGACTCAGAGAGAGAGCGGACGACTCAGAGAGAGAGAGGACGACTCAGAAAGAGAGGACGACTCAAAGAGAGAGGACGACTCAGAGAGAAAGAGGGCGACTCAGAGAGAGGACGACTCAGAGATAGAGAGGACGACTCAGAGAGAGAAAGGACGACTCAGAGAGAGAGGACGACTCAGAGAGAGAGGACAACTCAGAGAGAGAGGACGACTCAGAGAGAGAGAGGACGACTCAAAGAGAGAGGACGACTCAGAGAGAGAGGACAGCTCAGAGAGAGAGAGGACGACTCAGAGAGAGAGGACGACTCAGAGAGAGAGAGGGCGACTCAGAGAGAGAGGACGACTCAGAGAGAGAGGGCGACTCAGAGAGAGAGAGGACGACTCAGAGAGAGGACGACTCAGAGAGAGAGGACGACTCAGAGAAAGAGAGGGCGACTCAGAGAGAGAGAGGACGACTCAGAGAGAGGACGACTCAGAGAGAGAGGACGACTCAGAGAAAGAGAGGGCGACTCAGAGAGAGAGAGGACGACTCAGAGAGAGGACGACTCAGAGAGAGAGAGGACGACTCAGAGAGAGAGGACGACTCAGAGAGAGGACGACTCAGAGAGAGAGAGGACGACTCAGAGAGAGAGAGAGAGAGGGGACGACTCAGAGAGAGAGGACGACCAAGAGGCTCCAGGAGAAGGAGCCACGGATGATCAGAAAGTCACCCACGCGATGAGCCGGTGACAATTGCCCAAACTCAGCGGTCCTCAATATATATCAAGGTGCCATCAGCCAATTTATCTGTCCGGCTTTGTTGTGTTTATTTTGTTGTCCTTCTCTAACACCACCGATTAGCACGGTTGGCTACGTGCGGCGCGACGGGAATTCACCGTGGATACATCACGAGCGTTCACACGCGCGGAGGAAAACCAGAGCGTCCGGAGGCAGCCGGCGCGTGTGCGAGGGGGAAACGCGCTATCCTACGCAAATGGAGTCCACATCATTGCTGCACTTGCCGCCTCCTGGTGGACAGCGCCAGGGTGTGCGGCTCCTGCTCCTCGACGCCCACCCACGGGAAGGGGAGCTCCTTGTGCTGCGGCGATCCACCAACCGTCGCAGTCGCACGGTCGGCCACGCACGGCGCGGTAGAAGTCCAACGTACGTGCCTCCCCCACGTCGTCATCGTCCAGCGCGTTACTTAAGGCTGCCCTCCCACCCTCTCCTCCTCCTCCTCCTCCCTCCCTCCCTCCGCCCGCTTATCCTCGGCGACGCGTCGCGCGCGTCTCCGGCAAAAGAGTCCGAGGCGCCGGACGTTACCGTGGTGAGGAAGGCGTAGTCCGCCGGCTTTCCGAGTCCCAGTCTCTTCTTTTGCTCGTCGCTCGAGCCGAGCAGTAGGCAGTAGAAGACGTGGTAGTTGCGCTCCTGCTCGGCCTGCGTTGTTGCGTGGGGGAAATATAAAAGGGTGGGAGTCGGAGGAAGTGCCGCACCCCCACCAAACCCCCCTCCCCCCGCCCCCCCCCCCAAACGCTGAGTGATAATGACGTTATTCGGACAGAGGACGACTCAGAGAGAGAGAGAGAGGATGACCCAGAGGGTCCAGGATGAGCCGGTGACAACAATTGCCCGAGGTCTGCGATCCTATCAGCCAATAATTATCAGCCAGATTTTGTTTTGTGTGACAGTATCCGAATAATGTGGTCACTATATATTCTTGGTTCTTTCGGTAAGGTCACGTTGAAGGGAAACAAAAAATATATATATATAAAACAATAAAACAATATATAAAACAATTGTTTTATATATACTTTATTATTTTATTGTTTCCCTTCAACGTGACAATTGTTTTATATATACTTTATTATTGTATTGTTTCCCTTCAACGTGACTTTACCGAAAGAACCAAGAATATGAATCACTGCAGTCACGAAAGCTTTAAATCAAAATTTAATGTGGTCACTTTGCCTCAACGACATTGTTCGGATGGCATCGAACAGTCTCTGAATATTCGGTGGTTCTTTCGGTAAAGTCACGTAGGTGGGAGAAAGAAAGAAAAATGAAAAAAAATAAGAAACATTTATTTTTATTTTTTCACCTCCGTGACTTTACCGAAAGTGATTTTATTTATTTTTATTTTTTCACCTATGTGACTTTACCGATAGAATCAAATAATATGGATCCTTGCAGTCACGAAAACTTCAAATCTAGAAAGTATCTGAATAATATTCTTGGTTCTTTCGGTAAAGCCACGTTGAAGGGAAACAATAAAATAATAAAATATATTTTCCCTTCAACGTGACTTTACCGAAAGAACCAAGAATATGAATCACTGCAGTGACGAAAGCTTTCAATTAAAATGTATCCGAATATTAAATTTCGATTTAAAGCTTTCGTGACTGCAAGGATTCATCTTCTTTGGTTCTTTCAGTAAAGTCACGTAGAATGAGAATAAAATAATAAAATAACACAATAAAATTCTCACGACGTTTCGGCCACAACGCAAGTGGCCGTCTTCAGGTGAAAGGTACAGACCTGTCGGGACGACAGAGCTTCAATGAACGATGTTAAGATTCGTAGCGACTTTTACGCTGGTTGGGACAAGTGAGGCACCTTGACAAAGGGGTTTACATATAAAAATAGCTGAGGGATTAGCTTGTGACTGGTCACAGGAATGGCTATGTTAAAGTCAAAACCTACACATCCACAGAGGCAACTAGTAATTTAGCATTGAAATAGCTAAGGGATTAGCTTGTGACTGGTCACAGAAATAGATGTTAAAGCAAAGGCCTACACATCCAATAATGTCGCGAGATAAAACAGTGACCACGAAACAAAACGAGCGCTCGACGATGACGACGACGTTGACGACGTTGACGACGTTGATGATGACGCCGACGACGACGTTGACGATGACGCCGACGACGACGGGTACCTGTCCACACACGCGCGTCTTCTCCAGGAGGTACTGCTCGATGCGTGCTCCCTCGATGACGCTCTTCTCGTTGAAGTGAATTTCCACGTACTTCCCGAAGCGGCTCGAGTTGTCGTTCCGGATCGTCTTGGCGTTGCCGAAGGCTGCGGCGCACCAGGCGGCACGTGGTTAACATTATTTTTTTTTTTATTATCATCATTATTATCTTATCGTACGTTTGCATAGTGCCTTAAGCAAGGCGCTGTACGGTGAACTAACCACGGCACAAGACGGTTGGCGAGATGGCACGACATGAGCGGATGGGACATGTGTAAAAATTAGGCGGTGGTGGCGACGCGTGGAATCATTGTCGTGGTTATTACGCCACCCGCCGGTATTAATCAGGGCGGCCGCGAGATTCGAACCTCCGTCGAACCTCTCTGCAAAAACGACGACGACCGCGGCTGAATTCGACGCGAACGCCTCGGGGTAGGGGAGCGGAGGGAAGTGGAAATGCCTTGCCGTGACGTCACAATGCTACCTTGTTGCCAAGGCGACTGATAGACCAATGGAGAGGGGGGGGTGTCAGTAACCTGGGGGCAGTGATCCCCCTACTCCCTCACCCCTCCTTTGCCTCCCCTCCCCCCCTCCGGTACAAATCTTAAGTCGCATCAGGCCGGCAGATTTTTACTGCGACGGGGAGATCTTCCAACCAGAACGCCCAACTAGCCGTGATAGGCTCGTGAGCTGTTGCGCAAAAGCTTTAATAAATAAATAAAATATAGCCGAAATATTATAATAATAATAAATGGGCTAACGTCTCGTAACTCGCGTGCGTTGCGACTCTTGAACTGTTGAGTGAGTTAAAGTAAAAAAAAAAATGTCACCGTACCGAATTCTAAAAAAAAAATGTTCGGTCACCGACCCCTGGCCTATCGCGGGGGTCGGCGACCAAAGAAATTAACGAGGACAAGAAGAGGCCGCGTTTTCTCCTTTCAAATTTGGTAAAGCAACAAAAAATACATCGCTTCAATAGTTCAAGAGCTGCAATGCGATGTGAACACATATCGACTCCGACTATGATCCGCGGGGCGTGCGGATACGGCCGGCACAGTTTTCGGGGGTCTCCGGCCCAAAGACCTCGGAACAGCTCACGTTCGAGGGGTCCATCCCTGAGTCTGAGCCAGATCCGCAACAGACTCAAAACGGTAGTTGTTGTTGTTGTTGCTTCAGAGAGCATCCGTGATGGACTGGACTCATGTGGGTGCGCAATATCAAATGTTCTTGCTTTACGTACGTCCATACATTATGTTCATGAAGCAGTTTAACACGTAGGCTTTCGTAACCAATATCATCCATAACAGATTGTAAATGTTGTGGCTTGGCTCTCCAACACACCGGTGTGCTGCACTTGCGACGAATTGGCACGTTCTGTTTACGTGACAACCCTTACTAGTTGGCTGCGCCGGGTGGTGGCGGGTTTTAACGACGCATTTATATTTTTACACGTTCACGAAGCAGTCCGCAAAGAGCCGCGTGCGTCACCGGAGGCGGCAGGTTGCCAGCCCTCCTGACCTAGCTCACGTTCGTTCGGATCCGAGCTCATGTATGTGACCCGAGGGGGGCCCTCCGTCGCATTCCTTACTCGCCACCCTCCGAGAATTCACTTAAGCGTGAGAGCCCCGCAATGCGAAAAACGCGAATGACGTCACGGCGTGGTACTCGAAGAGCCGACGGGCGTGCTCGGCTCCGGAGCCACGCACCTTCGAGGATTGGGTTCGCCTCCAGGATCTGCTGCTCCACCCAGGAGTGCTGACCGCTCACGGCCGCCAGGAACTGCAGGATGAGCTTGGTGCTCTCCGTCTTGCCAGCGCCGGACTCCCCGCTGTGGGCAGCGCAGGGTCGGGAGGTCACGGTCAGGAGCCGAGAGGTCAAAATGCCATTGAGATCGCGCCCACCCTCGCCGTGGCTCCCTTCATTACTGCCTTCCGACAGATCGCGCAGCAGCAGCGGTTGTAAAAACATTCGACATCTGATCTTATTGAGGTCTCACGACGGTCGCATGGCCTCTCTCCGAGATCTGGTGGCCATCCAGGTTTAAGGACGATCTGGATCTAGGTCTCATGACCATCTGGACCGAGGTCTCATCACCATCTGGATCTAGGCCTCATGACCATATAGATCTAGGTCTCATAACTATCTGGATCTAGGTCTCATCACCATCTGGATCTAGGTCTCATGACCATCTGGATCTAGGTCTCATGACCATCTGGATCAAGGTCTCTTCACCATCTGGATCTAGGTCTCATCGCCATCTGGATCTAGGTCTCATGACCATCTGGATCTAGGTCTCATGACCATCTGGATCAAGGTCTCGTCACCATCTGGATCTAGGTCTCATCACCATCTGGATCTAGGTCTCATCACCATCTGGATCTAGGTCTCATCACCATCTGTATCTAGGTCTCATCACCATCTGAATTGAGGTCTCATCACCAACTGGATATAGGCCTCATGACCATATAGATCTAGGTCTCATAACTATCTGGATCAAAGTCTCATCACCATCTGAATCTAGGTATCATCACCATCTGGATCAAGGTCTCATCACCATCTGGATCAAGGCCTCATCACCATCTGGATCTAGGTCTCATCACCATCTGGATCAAGGCCTCGTCACCATCTGGATCAAGGCCTCGTCACCATCTGGATCTAGGTTTCATCACCATCTGGATCTAGGTCTCATCACCATCTGGATCTAGGTCTCATCACCATCTGGATCTAGGTCTCATCACCATCTGGATCTAGGTCTCACCGACAAATGCTCCAACCGTGCTCCCCACGTCACAAACATCGTACTTACAGCCCTAAAAAAAGCTTTACAGCTCATCGGATTGCCCCCTCCCGCCCCCCCCCCCCCCCACCCCTTGCCACACGACTGCCCACCTGATAATGCAGCACTGGTTACGCTCGTTACGCCGCATGTTGAAGTGGGCGTTGTCGGCGAGGGCGAAGATGTGGGGCGGCAGCTCGCCCACCTTGCGCCCACGATACTGCTGGATCGCCTCGGGCGAGTAGACGTTCAGCGTCTTGTAGGGGTTCACGGCGACCAGGATGGAGCCCGTGTACGTCTGCACGCACGCCCCGCAACGACAGTGGGTGTTGTCACGGGAAGGGCACTGGGAGCTATGGGCACGGTGGCGTGAAGCCCCAGGAGGTCGTGGGTTCGTTCCCGACCCTGACGCCTGCTGTGCATTTGGAATTTCCGCGTCTCTCTCTCTCTCTCTCTCTCATCACGGTGGCTAGGAGATGTTAATTCCCTCGCCTGGTATGCAGGAGGGCGTGGGTTCGATCCCGACCCTGACGCCTGCTTTATATTTGGAATTTGCGTGTCTTTCCCTCTCTCGCTCTCTCTCGCCGTGGTCGTGTGATGTTTTTTCTCCGGGTCCTCCAGTTTCTCCCTCCACATTTAAAAACAGTGTACGTGTGTGAATGTGTGTACACTTGGGAGACAAAGGCGGCCGGGCGCGGTGCTGGCCACCCACCCCTTAGTGTGCCGTGCCGGTCTTCATAGACGCTTACTAACAGCACTTGCCCCAACAGTCTGTTAAGGCTATACTGGAGATCTTTGTCTTTCATTTGTACGTACACACATACGCACACGTACACTGTGTGTGTGTGTATGTGCGCACACACGCTTGGTGCGCGCGTGTGTACACGCGTGCGTATGGGTGTACACACGTACATGAGACCCTGAGACCCTCTCTACACACGCGTACACGCGCGTACGTGCGCGCGTGTACGCTCAGTGTACGCACGTGTGTACGCGTGCGCGTGCACCCACGTATATGAGGTCCTCCTGGTATCGCGTGAACAGGTTGCGGAGGATTCCCGCCTCGTGCAGGTCCCCCAGGCGGATCATGTCCTCCACGCCCGTCACCGACGTCGGGTGCATCAGCCGGATGAGGCCCTCGTTGGCCGGAGTCACCCAGTGCTCCTGCAGCCCATTGGGGACGCGGACACAGCGGCGGCAGCGGCGGCACGACGACATCAACGCGGCCACGACAGCGGTGACGTCGTCGTCGTCGTGTCGACGACGTCACCGCTGTCGTTGACGTCGTCGACACGACGTCAACGACAGTGGCGACGGTGGTGATAGCGGCAACAGCGGTGACGGTGATGGTGGTGACGGTGGTGACGGCGTCGACAGTGGTGACGGCGGTGACGGTGGTGATGGTGAAGATAGCGGTGACGGTGGTGATAGCGGCAACAGCGGTGACGACAGTGACGGTGGCGACAGTGGCGACGGTGGTGATGGTGAAGATAGCGGTGACGGTGGTGACAGCGGTGACGGCGGTGACGGTGGTGATGGTGAAGACAACGGTGACGGTGGTGACGGCGGTGACGGTGGTGATGGTGAAGACAACGGTGACGGTGGTGACGGCGGTGACGGCGGTGACGGCGGTGACGGTGGTGATGGTGAAGACAACGGTGACGGTGGTGACGGCGGTGACGGTGGTGACGGCCTACAAGGGTGACGCCGGCTTTGGTGCCGAAATGGCGCGGGTGCGACTGGTCTCGTGCAAACAGCCGATCGGCATACTGCCCGGCTTCCACAACACATAGCTCATCAGCAAGCACACAACAGCCCTACAAGCAGACGGACACGCGGACGGTAGCGATTCGGGCAGACGGACACGCCACTCACGGTGCCTTCGTCATCCAGCAGCAGAACTTTGCCGGAGTCGGAGAGTTTGACGACGGCTCCGATGGGGACCGCAAACTCCCCGGGATTCTCCACGTCCAGGAAGACATGGTCGCCCTGGCCACACGGCAACAACAAACAAACAACGCCCAACAAACAACAACAAACAACAAATGAAAATCAACAACAAACACAGCAACAAACAAAAACAATGAATGAAAAACAACAACACACCAACAAACACACAAGAACAAAAACAACAACAAACAACAACAAACACACAACAAACACAACAACAAACACAACAACAAACACAACAACAAACACAGCAACAAACAAAAACAATGAACAAAAAACAACAACACACCAACAAACACACAAGAACAAAAACAACAACAAACGCACAACAACAAACAACAACAAACACACAACAAACAACGACAATAACAAACACACAGCACACAACAACAAACACAACAAACAACAACAAACGCACAACAACAAACACAACAACAAACGCACAACAAACACACAACAAACAACGACAATAACAAACACACAGCAAACAACAACAACAAACAACAACAAATGACAGCAACAAACATAAAAACACAACAAACGACAACAGTTTAATTTAAAACATTCTTTTTTGCTGACTATTTAGTCAAACTGTTAACGGTTAAAGTGTGTTGTCGTTGTTGTTGTTGTCGTTGTCGTTGTTATTGTTGTCGTTGTTATTGTCGTTGTTGTTCGGATGAAATGGAAGGAACCCGGAAGGAGAGGAAAAGCTAACAAGAGAGTGATGGGCGTGACGACGACATCATCGTGAGAGATTTGGAGCCAGAAGGATTGTGGCCACTACTTTGGCGTATCCTGGCACTGCACGACAGAGCAGAGGAGCGTGGGAACAACACGTGACATGAACCCCCCTTACTACGGGCTTAGCTGCCCCATGGATAGTGGTGGTGGTGATTATGGTGATGAACATTGAGACTGGGCCTTACAGAGCACATACCCCAGTCAACCCATGCGGTTTACCCTGTATTCTTGTATACGGGGAAATTGAGTTTTCAGGTCCATACGGCATACAGCCGTTCCAATACGGGCACAAACAAATGTGTCGATTTGTGTTTCTCCCTTGTGATGGGACTTTGTAGGATGAACGTTGAGATTTATAAGGGGCACGGGGTGACCAATAAGGCCCTGAATTGGTCTGTAATAAGGTAGGGCACTGATACGGGGTTGAAAGCTATGTAGTGGTGAGTGTACTAGTGGTGAGTGTGCTAGTGGTGAGTGTACTAATGGTGAGTGTACTAGTGGTGAGTGTACTAGTGGTGATTGTCTATTTGTTTGTGTTTCTCCCTTGTGATGGGACTTTATCGGATGAACGTTGAGATTTATAAGGGGCACGGGGTGACCAATACGATCAGAATTGGTCTGTATAAGGGTAGGGCACTGATAAGGTAGTTGACAGGTTTGCTACTGTACACTACACTATACACTACTACACACTACACGACTACACACCTGTCAACCCATACGGTTTACCCCGTATTCTTGTCACGTAAACAAAACATGGCCGTTTCAATACGGTAAAAAAATAAAATGTGCCTGTTTGTGTATCTCCCTTGTGATGGGCGTTTGTAGGATGAACGTCGAGATTTATAAGCAGCACCGGGTGACCACTAAGATCTGCAATGAGGTAGGGTACTGATGAGGGGTTTACGGCTGCGTGATTCATATTCTTAGCTCTTTCAGTAAAGTCACGTTGAAGGGAAACAATAAAATAATAAAAATATATATATAAAACAATAAAAATTCTCACGACGTTTCGACCATAACACAAACGGTCGTCATCAGGTGTGTCGGTTTGTATTAATTTATTTATTTTTAAACGGTGTATTTATTTATTTAAAAAAACGTTACCGCCACGCGCAGCGATTTGGCAGTTTATTTAGAAGGACCAGTCCATCTAGTCAATCTAGTCCTTCTAAATAAACTGCTAAATCGCTGCCCGTGGCGCTGACGGTTTTTTATAAGTAAATAAATACACCGTTTAAAAATAAATAAGTTAATGCAAACCGACACACCTGATGACGACCGTTTGTGTTATGGTCGAAACGTCGTGAGAATGTTTATTGTTTTATATATATATTTTATTATTTTATTGTTTCCCTTCAACGTGACATTACCGAAAGAGCTAAGAATATGAATCACTGCGGTCACGAAAGCTTTAAATCAAAATTTAGCTGCGTGATTATTTGATTTGTCTTTCCGCACGGTCGCACCCAGCAGGCTATTCTTAGATATCGCGGCCTCGCTCTTTGCCCTGATCGGCATCGCGCCGTTGACGCTCACGGTCTCGGGCGTTTAACGCTGTAGGGGGATGTCACTCGCCGTCTTCGCACAATACAGCCGCCACAGATCCGCTGTGTTCCTTAGTTAGATCTTCAGGTCAACACGTAGGAGGCTTTCGCGACCAGTATTACCCATAATCGAAGTTTTTTTTGGGGGGGGTTAGATCGCGTAAATACAAATGTGTCGGTAAACCCGCCACCACCCGATGCAGCCAATTAGTAAGGTTTGTCACGTAAACAAAACATGGCAATTCGTTACTAGTACAGTAACGAATTGTAGCAGTAACGAATTGTTTTAGTAACGAATTGGCATGTGCTATTCGCGTGACAAACCTTACTAATTGGCAGCGTCGGGTGGCGGCGAGTTTAACGACACATTCATAGTTAGCTCTTCGCAATATTGGCACAAATAATGAAGGCACTCTCATGAAACGATATATTGAAGCCGTGTTTTAAATATGCTGTCGTTATTTTAACACCGGTGTTGAAATCGAATCTCGTGGTGGTTGGTAAGGACGCCCCCCCCCCCCCCAACTGGTAGTTTTCACCATTAGGGGGGGAGGCGGGGGGAGGGGAGGGGCGGGGGGTGGGGGGGGCTAAGGCACCCCCCCCCATGCCCTCCCATGCTCGTTATGCCACTGGGTGGCGGAGCGTCACCCTGCCGCAGGTCACCGCCACTTCGTGGCAGAGGAGCGGTCCCAGGGCTTCCGTTGGCTTCCGTCCTCGAAGACGCCCTGGCTTCGCGCTACGTACGCACGTCTGTGTGTACGTACCAAGGCCGTAATCATAATATATATTGGGGGGGATACATCCAAATATGCTCAAAATGTCCCCCCCCCCCAATATATTGCTGTAAACAATATATTTAAAAAAACATTTCTACGCTATGTAAATAAAAACAACAATTTGCTAAAACCTTGGCCACAATATCTGAATTTGTCTTCATATAACAACGCATAGATTTCTGTTTATATGATTGTGGTTATGGTTGTACTTTATTAATCCCTAATCTCTGCCATTACATATGTAGTGGTCCAGCACACCTTCCTACTCCACTAAACATACAATGAAACAATAAAAAGTAAAAAAAGTCAAAACAGAGCAATGTAATAAATACAATACACTATTAAACATTATTGCAAAAAATATATAAAAAGTCCATCCCATGTGTTAGTGAATTTTTTTATATTTTAGCCAGGAAATGGCAGGAAATTTATTTCAAATTTAGATTTTTTTCCTGGGGCGGGGGGGGGGCTAGACCCCCTGAAAAATTTGGTCCCCCCCAATGTTGACTCCATGGCTACGGCCTTGGTACGTACACACGTGCGTACACACGTGCCTATGTACGCACGTGTGTACGTACACACGTGCGTACGTTGCATTTCTTTTGCACGGAAGCGTAGCCAAGCGTGCTAAGCGGAGGTGCGAGGGGAGGAGGATAACAAATTAAGCACAGCACCAAGAAGTTTTAAAGAAATTAGTTTGTCAATCATGATGATTTAAAAGTGCATAGCTCCAATTGGCTTCCTGATATCGGAAGGAAGAGCGTTCCAGAAGGTTGCAGAAGCGAATCTGAAAGCGCGCGATGCAGTGTGTGAGTCTATGTATCTCTGAGTCTAGGGTCTCTGTGTGAGTCGATGGGTGTCTGTGTGAGTCTAGGGTCTCTGTGTGAGTCTAGGGTCTCTGTGTGAGTTTATGTAACTCTGAGTCCAGGGTCTCTGGCGAGTCAATGGGTTTCTGTGTGAGTCTAGAGTCTATGTGTGAGTCTAGGGTCTCTGTACGAGTCTATGGGTCTCTTAGCGAATATATGAGTCTCTGTGTGATGAGTCTATAGGTATCTGTGTGAGTCTATGGGTCTCTATGTACATATGTTGAGCTTCTTTCGCAAAGTAACGTAGCTAATTGTGCTATAACCCGTCTGTGTCTAACACGTGCCTTTCATGTTCTATTCTCCTTCATTCATATTTGTTAAGGGTCTACATTCAGTTGTTTTCTGTTAAGGGTTTTTTTTATCAGTTTTATTCAAGGGCTTGTGTTCAGTTTTATCTGTTTAGGAATGTGTCTGTTCAGGATTGTCTTCAATTGTATCTGTCAAGGGTTTTTATCGGTTAAGGTTGTTTTATGTGTTTGTTAAATCAGTTAAGGTTTTCCTTTAAGGTTTCGTTCATGGGGTGTTCGTTAGGGGTAGGGGTTAACTCAATCTAAGGCGCTCCCGAGTAAAAACCAAAGCTTCGCTCGCTGGCATCACCGGCTCAGACGATTGCTCATGTTTGTCGTAAGCCAGGGCTAGAGCTCGAGCTCACGCCAACTCCGGGTTCATAGTGCGGTAGATTTACGTGCCCCTCAACTACTGCCCCACCACCACCCCCAAGTATTTACGACATGTCACGGAGTCAGAGGCGGAAGGGTCAAAGTTGACTTTTTCTTTTACATTCCTGATCTGGAGTCGTATTTACCACATTTAAGTCACAAAAGGAAATTGACCTATGCATTGTAATTACACGCCCGGAGAAAAATCTACCTGCCCACGGAGAGAGAGACATGCAAACTCCAAATATACAGCAGGCATCAGGGTCGGGATCGAACCCACGGCCTCCTGCATACCAGGCGAGGTAGTTAACATCTCCTAGCCACCGTGGCACACCTAACCCAAAGCATCGTGACCGTACTTAAAACAAAATAGAAAACTAACCTTTATTTCTATGAAGGCGCTCGTCTTAAGCCTATGCAGTCGTAAATACAACCACCAATCATTTAGGAATCATTACGAATCCTCAAATGAGTAACTTGTGAGCGTTAAGCCATGCGGCAGAGCCAATGGAGCAAGCGAGGCTCTTGAGCGTGGGGTGAAAGGGCACGGCGTGTGACGGGAGGACGTCTGTGAAACTAGTGAGACATCGGTTAAACTACTGAGAGATCTGTGAAACTACTGAGACATCTGTGAAACTACTAGGACATCTGTTAAATTACTGGGACATCTGTGAAACTAGTAGACATCTGTGAAACTACTGAGACATCTGTAAAACTACTGAGACATCTGTGAAACTACTAGGACATCTGTGAAACTACTGAGACATCTGTAAAACTACTGGGACATCTGTGAAACTACTAGGACATCTGTGAAACTACTGAGACATCTGTAAAACTACTGGGACATCTGTGAAACTACTGAGATATCTGTGAAAATACTGAAACATCTGTGAAACTACTGAGACATCTGTTAAACTACCAAGACATCTGTGAAACTACTGGGACATCTGTGAAACTACTAGACATCTGTAAAACTACAGAGACATCTGTGAAACTACTGAGATATCTGTGAAAATACTGAGACATCTGTGAAGCTACTGAGACATTTGTTAAACTACTAAGACATCTGTGAAACTACTGGGACATCTGTGAAACTACTAGACATCTGTAAAACTACTAGGACATCTGTGAAACTACTGAGACATCTGTAAAACTACTGGGACATCTGTGAAACTACTGAGATATCTGTGAAAATACTGAGACATCTGTGAAGCTACTAGACATCTGTGAAACTACTGAGACATCTGTGAAGCTACTGAGACATCTGTGAAACTACTAAGACATATGTGAAACTATTGAGACATCTTTAAAACTACTGAGATATCTGTGAAACTACTAGACATCTGTGAAAATACTGAGACATCTGTGAACTACTGGACATTTGTAAAACTACTGGACATCTGTGAAACTACTAGGACATCTGTTAAACTACTGGGACATCTGTGAAACTACTGGGACATCTGTGAAACTACCGGGACATATGTGACACTACTGGAACATCTGTGAACAAAGAGCTTCACAGCTCTTCGGATTCCTCTGGTGCAAGTCAATACTCTAATTCTGACAAGGGGCCCAATTGGTCAACAGCCAGCTGGGTACAAAGGTTCGTCAACCAAGTTCTGGCTTCCCTCTCGTGGTTACCGTGGACTTGCCAGCGGTCACGATAGCTGGCTGCCCACAAAATTCGTGTTTGCCGTCCTGCGGTGGAACTGCCAATTTACGTAACGGCTGTGCACGTGATTAAATCGATCCATCCTCGGTTCGGTCGTCACCAGCCCCCCCCCCCCCTCTTGCGCTCACCCCCCCCCCTCTCCCCCGACTTCCTCCTTCCGTCCGTCTTGTGTCTCCTTCATCGCCGGAGACGTGCGGTTGATGACGACGAAAATCAGGGATTCGTTTTGTCACTGAATATTTTGATTGTCGGAGGCATGTCGTTGTTGATGATGATGGTGATGATGATGACGACAATCATGGATTAATTTGCCACTGAATTTTTTTTATTGTTGAAGACATGACGTTGTTGATGATGATGATGGTCACGACAATCAGGCATTGATTTGTCACTGAATAGTTTCATTGTCGGAGACATGACGACGGTGATGACGACGACGACGACGACATTCAAGGATTAATTTGCCAACCGAATATTTTGCGGGGTCTCTGGCAGACTGTGGCAGGCACGTGACTCGCGGTAACAGCCATCGGGTTCACGCTGTGACGACAACGATGACGCAGCAATAGCAACAGCTGTTGCTGTTTTTTTCGCCGATTTCAAATTCGCTTAATTTCCGTTGCATAACGCATTTCTGTGAGCCTGGTGACTATTTTAACCCCTGACCGCTGTCTTTCTCTCTCTCTCTATCGAGTTTCTCTCCTGGATACACAAAAAAAGATAAACGTGACTCGGAGCTGGGAATACTGTATGCGGTGTGCCGAGTGAGGAAATCTCAGAATGTCTTTATGCTGCAGGAGGAATCCGATTAGCTATGAAGCTCTTTTGTTCACAGATGTCAGGTAGGGGCACGGGGTCAGAAGGTTACAACAACAACCAATACAAAAATACGATCGGAGTGCAAAGTATAGGAGAGGTAAACAAATCACTTAAAAATATAAATACACAAATAAAACTAAGCTATACATTTTGTTTATTCCCAGGTAAAGCCCAGTGAGCTATGTAGCTTATTTTTTCAGAACCGACCTGGACCACAGATGATAGCTCAACGAAGTGGCTTATCGCGTGGAAATGTATAGCAGACACGGCTGAAGTTAAACGCGAATGATGACAATGGTGATGATGAAACTTGTGGAACACTTATTGTAAATGCTTGGTTTCACCCTTGTTGGCTTCATCAGCAGACAGGTGAGTTGGACAAATACCCCCACGATACAGCACTGGATGTGTACAGTTCGCTCCTTGTTTACCAGATATTGTCGAATGCCCGTGGTGTATCGAGAGGGAACTTAGCGATAACTGTTGTTAGCAAGCAGCGGTATTTGTCAGTCAGAGACTGCTGATGAGCGACAGAATGGCGAAAAACCAGTCCGTAGTTTGAGAGTTTAAACAAACGTTGCCGGTTAAAATTCAGCATTCAAGCCCCACCAGGTAGAAACAATGAAGCATTATATTTTTTTTCCATCAGGGGATAAGAAATGCGAGGTGATTTATTTCATGGTGATAACAGTTTCAGGAGGAGCGGTGGTTATCGCACTGCACTCTGAACTGGCTACTACCTGAGTTTGATTCCGGGCAGTGGCTAATCTCAGTGACGAGGGATATCTGAACGGGTCCTGGTTGGGAATAGGAGGTGTAGCGGTTATTGCGCTGTGCTGCGAACTCGGCGAATCCGAGTTCGATTCCCGCTCATGACCAACAACACGGGTGCCGATTATTTGAACCGGTCATGGGCCTCCCCTAGGTCGACTCGGCCTCAAATTAGGACCTGGTGCGGTGTGTAAATATCGCCACTGGGGGAGACAGAGATGGCCGGGCGTAATGTTGGGCCACCCACCCCCTCGTGTACCGTGCCGACCTTCATAGGTGCTGCTACTTGCTAATAGTACTTGCCCCCAACAGCCTGTTACAAGCTTTACGGGGGTGGATCTATGTTTTTGTCAGTGGGGTGTGACATCTGAAATGCTCACTGGGATCACTGCACACTGTACAAGCGCAGCACTTGGCCAACAACCGCCAGGCGCGACCCCATAAACTGGCAGGCCCGACCCAACAACCTCCCAGGCACGACCCCAACAACTGCCAGGCCCGATCCCAACAACCGCCAGGCCCGAACCCTGCTACTACCAGGCCTAAAACCCAACAACTGCCAGGCCCGAACACCAACAAACGCAAGGCCCGACCCCAACAAAAGCCAGGTTCGACCACAACAACCGCCAGGCCCGATCCGAACCACCGCCAGGACTGACCCAACAATAACCGCCAGTACCCACCCCGACCCCAACAACCGCCAGGCCCAACCCCAATAACCACCTGGTTCGACCCCAACAAACCCAAGGCCCGCTCCCAACAACCACCAGGTTCGACCCCAACAACCGCCAGGACTGACCCAACAAAAACCGCCAGGCCCGACCCCAATAACCGCCAGGCCCAACCCCAATAACCACCAGGTCCGACCCCAACAACCGCCACGTCTGACCCAACAATTGCCGGGTCCGACCCAACAACAACCGCCAGGCACGATCCCAATAACCGCCACGCCCGACCGACAGCAGGAGGTTCGGGCAACCAAAATTAACAACAATATATTTTTTGTTCCAATTAGGTTTGAACAACAACAAAAGAAAGCACTGACTCAATATTCCATAGAGCCAGCAATGCGATGTTGCTGAATACGAGACCGTTGGGGGTTTTCAATCAATAACTGCCACGAAGCGGTGGCTCCTTAAAGAGGCCGCATGCAACTCCGCACAAAAAGATCGTAGTACATTTACGTTTTTTTAACTAACGTTGTTCGTAATTATCCTCATTAGCATTCCCACTACTACTATAGTCGGCAAAACAACGAAACGGTGGACTTTGCTCGAACTGTAAGGAGATATGAGCGGAGAAACCGCACACATTTAACTAAACTCAACTATAAACACTTTTTTTTTATTTTACCGGGGAAGGCACCCATTGAGCAATAACATAGCTCTTCTTCAGAAGCGGACCCTGACCCACACACAAGTGATAGCCCAACTAAGTAGAGACCCACTAATCAATAACATAGCCCTCTTTCAGAAGCGGTACCTGGCCCACACACAAGTGATAGCCCTACTAAGTAGAAACCCACTAATCAATAACATCCCTCTCATTCAGAAGCGGTACCTGGCCCGCACACAAGTGATAGCCCTACTAAGTAGAGACCCACTAATCAATAACATAACCCTCTTTCAGAAGCGGTACCTGGCCCACACACAAGTGATAGCCCTACTAAGTAGAAACCCACTAATCAATAACATCCCTCTCATTCAGAAGCGGTACCTGGCCCACACACAAGTGATAACCCAACTAAGTAGAGACCCATTAATCAATAACATAGCTCTCATTCAGAAGCGGTACCTGACCCACACACAAGTGATAGCCCTACTAAGTAGAGACCCACTAATCAATAACATCCCTCTCATTCAGAAGCGGTACCTGGCCCACACACAAGTGATAGCCCTACTAAGTAGAGACCCACTAATCAATAACATAGCCCTCTTTCAGAAGCAGACCCTGGCCCACACACAAGCGATAGCCCAACGAAGTGGGCTTATCATCGCCACGTGGTAATTTATAGCAGCAGCAGCCGCCAAATAACTCTAAAACGCGTGTGGTAATGTTGCTGCTGATTCTAAACGCGCACTCACCTGCCGAAGGATGACCATGTCGCCTCCTGATCGGCTGCCTCCACCGGCACCTGAACGTCGACAAAGCATTTTGTTCTCATCAGGGGGTAGGGGTGTTTGAAGAGAACTCCCAGACCCAACAGCGGACAGAGGCAGAGATTTACAAATCGCTCGACAGCGTTTGGTTGGTTGGTGTTGTTGTTGTTGTTAACGGCGTAGGCCGAAAGACGGCGCCGATCGGCTTGCGATGATGATGATGATGATGATTGTTATTATTTGTCTCTTTGTTTTCCTTCACGCGTCCTCGCAACAAACAAAAAACGCCTTCGGCTCGGGCCCCCGTGCCCCGTGAGAAAAGCGTCGGGTCGCCGCCGATTCGTTTCCGTTGTGCCGAGGGCGGTCGTGGTGCTTGATGGTGGCGCTGGTAGTAATGTTTCGCCGATGTGGGCAAAACGCCGTGCGGCCCCTCCACGGGGTTTATGGCGGAAAAAATTGTCAAGTTAAATAAAAAACTCGAGCGGGACCTTTGGAGGTGGATCTGCGCGTTAATGATCGAGGGAACTGAGAGAGCGAAGGGGGTTGGAGACTGGGGGAACGGAGATGTTAAGGAGGAAAAACTGGGATGTTTTTAAGAGTCATTTTGGGCTGCTCTCAGTCTTCACGTGATGGTTAAGCCCATTTTGTTGAGCTATCATTTGTGGCCAGGCCGCTTCTGAGAAAGTGGCTAATAGCTCAGCGGGCTTTGCATGACAAGATGAAAAAATATAAGTTAGTTTTATTTGCACGTATATTTTGGTGGTGATTTGTTTACCTTGCCTATACTGTGCACTCCTATCGTGTTGCTGTATCGTGTTTGTTGTTGTAACCTTTTGACCCCGAGGCCCCCTGCTGGACAGTTTGTGAAAAAAAAGTTTTATAGCTCATTGGATTCCGCATCCAGGATACATAAAGTTTCTGTTTCTGAATTACCCAAGCCGACCCGTGATTCTCCGGATTAATCACGGTGCGAAAGAAGTTCAACATCAGAATCTGAAATTATACTGGAGGAATCCGATGAGCAATGAAGCTCTTCTTCACAGATGTCCCGTAGGGGCAGGTAAAGAACGCTACAACAACAGACAATGCTTACATACATCTTTGCGCACCTCCAATTAGCACAGTTGGCCACGTATGGTGCGAAAGAAGTTCAACATACATCAATCATCATCCCGTACCTCCGATTAGCACGGTTGGCTACGTAGAGTGTGAAAGAAGTCCAACATTCATCATTATCATCCCGTATCTCCCATTAGCACGGTTGGCTACGTACGGTGCGAAAGAAGTCGAGTGAGTCGGTGGGATTATTCGTGGGTATGGCAGTAAGAGTCGCTTCGTCCTGCACAGCGGCGCGGTCTCTCCGCCCAGGTGTGACGCGGTGTCTTTAAATTTATCACCGGAAACACGGGCAATGAAACGCTGGGAACAGCACAGACACGCAGACACACAGACACGCGGACACATTGACACGCGGACACACTGACACGCGGACACATTGACACGCGGACGCATTGACACGCGGACACATTGACACGCGGACACATAGACACGCGGACACATAGACACGCGGAGACATAGACACGCAGACACATAGACACGCGGACACATTGACACGCGGACACATTGACACGCGGATACATAGACACGCAGACACATAGACACTCGGACACACAGACACGCGGATACATAGACACTCAGACACATTGACACGCAGACACATAGACACGCGGACACATTGACACGCGGACACATTGACACGCGGATACATAGACACGCAGACACATAGACACTCGGACACACAGACACGCGGATACATAGGCACTCAGACACATTGACACGCAGACACATAGACACACAGACACATAGACACGCAGACACATAGACACTCGGACACACAGACACGCGGATACATAGACACTCAGACACATTGACACGCAGACACATAGACACACAGACACATTGACACGCGGACACATTGACACGTGGACACATAGACACGTGGACACATAGACACGCAGAAACATTGACACGTGGACACATTGACACGCGGACACATAGACACGCGGACACATTGACACGCGGACACATTGACACGCGGACACATTGACACGCGGACACATAGACACGCAGACACATAGACACGCAGACACATAGACACACAGACACATAGACACGCAGACACATTGACACGCGGACACATTGACACGCGGACACATTGACACACAGACACATAGACACGCAGACACATAGACACGCGGACACATTGACACGTGGATACATAGACACACAGACACATAGACACGCAGACACATAGACACGTGGATACATAGACACGCAGACACATAGACACGCAGACACATTGACACGCAACCACATAGACACGTGGATACATAGACACGCAGACACATTGACACGCGGACACATAGACACGTGGACACATTGACACGCAGACACATAGACACGCAGACACATAGACACACGGACACATAGACACGCATACACATTGACACGGACACATAGACACGGACACATAGACATGCAGACACATTGACACGCGGACACATTGACACGTGGACACATAGACACACAGACACATTGACACGCGGACACATAGACACGTGGATACATAGACACACAGACACATAGACACGTGGACACATAGACACGTGGATACATAGGCACGCAGACACATAGACACGTGGACACATTGACACGTGGACACATTGACACGCGGACACATTGACACACGGACACATTGACACGCGGACACATTGACACACGGACACATAGACACGTGGACACATTGACACACGGACACATAGACACGTGGACCCATTGACACGCGGACAGATAGACACGTGGACACATTGACACGCGGACACATTGACACACGGACACATAGACACGTGGACACATTGACACACGGACACATTGACACTCAGACACATTGACACGTGGATACATAGACACACAGACACATAGACACGTGGACACATAGACACGTGGACACATAAACACGTGGACACATAGACACGTGGACACATTGACACACGGACACATTGACACGTGGACACATTGACACGTGGATACATTGACACGCGGACACATTGACACTCAGACACATAGACACGCAGACACATTGACACGCAGACACATAGACACGTGGACACATTGACACGTGGATACATTGACACGCGGACACATTGACACTCAGACACATAGACACGCAGACACATTGACACGCAGACACATAGACACGTGGACACATTGACACGTGGATACATTGACACGCGGACACATTGACACTCAGACACATAGACACGCGGACGCATAGACACGCAGACACATAGACACGTGGACACATTGACACGTGGATACATAGACACGTGGACACATAGACACACAGACACATAGACACACAGACACATAGACACGTGGACACATAGACACACAGACACATAGACACACAGATACATAGACACGTGGACACATAGACACACAGACACATTGACACGCAGACACATAGACACGCAGACACATAGACACGCAGACACATTGACATGCAGACACATTGACACACGGACACATTGACACACGGACACATTGACACGCAGACACATAGACACGCAGACACATTGACATGCAGACACATTGACACACGGACACATTGACACACGGACACATTGACACACGGACACATAGACACGCAAACACATTGACACGCATAGACACGTGGACACATAGACACGTGGACACATTGACATGCGGACGCATAGACACGCAGACACATAGACACATAGACACACAGACACATTGACACGTGGACACATTGACACAATCAGACACATTGACACATAGACACGCGGACACATTGACACACGGACACATTGACATCCGTACAATAATAACGCGGCGCCGAGTCCATCCGTAGCGGCGTATCACTTGAGCTAAAGATAGAGACGCGGGGCTCACGGACACCATCAGCGATGATCTGTGTAACAATTTATTTTTTTGTTCCTGGGTAGTAAGTGTTATTGTCTAATTGCGTATTTCTCAAAAGTACAGAAAGTGGCTACTGTTCCCCACAAACTTTGCTTTTGTGACCAGGACATTGATGTGTTTAAATGTACCTATTGTCAACGAGACAACGTGGCGTACATTCGTGTCATTCCTTCACGTAAAGTCCTGGTCACGAAAGCAAAGTTTGTGCTGAATAATAATAGCCACTTTCTGTACTTTTGAGGCATACGCAATTAGACAATAACACTTAGTACCCAGGGACAAAAATCGTGTTACAGAGTGGATCGATCGACTGCCGGATGGAAGGACGTGGTGGGGGGGGGGGTGCGGCTGATTCCCTACCTCGGGTTTTGGGGGGGGGGTGGGGGGAGAGGTCCCGTCTAGCGTGCGTGAGGAGGTGACTCAAGGCCCCCCTTAATACATAAACTTCGGAGCAAAGCCGAAGGGCCGCTGACAAGGGGTGGGGTGGGGGGGGGTGGGGGGGTTTGTAGGGGGGTACGGTCATGAGGACTAGTGTGGAGGGATTCAGTGAAAGGAACAATCATCCAGCAGTGGAGTGAGCACGCCGAACGATGACACCAGTTTTTTTGTAAACTCTGATGCGCACAAGGGCAAAGGTGCCCCGGGCAGTGCCGAGTGTCGGGGCAAGTGCTCGTGGGTGACGAGTGGCAGCGCTTGTGAAGAGCGTCACCGTGCTGGCACACGAGGGGGTGGGTGGCCAGCAACACGCTCGGCGTGAATTTGAGTTCATATCCCGCTGTGTCAGTCTTAAACAATGCGGTTTGTCTGTTGATTCTTTTTTGTTCCGTCAACCTAAGACATTCCGCAGTTGACCCATTCCATGCCAGATGTAAGCTTCACACAGGGTGCAGCACTCACTCAGTTGAAAGCGTGGGAGGCTTTCGCGACCGATATCATTCAAAGTAGAGGGGGGTTTTTTGTTGGGGTTAGATCGCGTAACTATATAAATGTGTTGTTAAACC